ATGGTAAATACATGCCTTTGCTTATTGGGCAATGTAAAGAAGAGTTATGTTACTTGCATAAATTATAAATGTCTCTTCGCATTGTGTGCGTGGTATGTCAAAATGACAATTGTCTGTGTCGACATGACAATTATGTCAGGTCAAATTATGTTCGCCTTCTACATAATGACAAAGTGGTTTGTCATCAAAGTCGTACTTACACTCTTGAAAGTCCTGGGTCAGATTTTACTCGGAGTCTGAGTCAAATTTGACCTGACACACTTCTGGGTCAAAATGACAAATACCTCGGGTCAATTAACTCAAGGGAGAAAATGAAGTGTCATTTTAACTCGGGAGAAGTGTCAAGTCAAATCTGACCCGGATTCGGGTTGAATCTGAACCGGGACTTTTTAGAGTGTATATGATTTGCCGATTGTGCATCTGCAAACATTTTCAATTGACAAAGTATTGAAAACTTCAAATGTGTACACTGTACCTCCCTCCGCATTGTGTTTCTGCCATATATAAAAAAAGGCTCATAAGCTTTCAAAACAAAAAGGCTAAAAAGTTCTTTATTGAGTCACACATTAATTTTCACTTGTATATAAATGAATAGATGAGCAAAATTGCTAGGCAAAATTTGAAGAATTATACGCACGTAGTTAGGATCGTGAGCTGTTGGGCAAAGATGATTTTCAATCAGAATTGAACGAATGAGATATTACTTATTTGGAGTGTAGTGATTATCGTAGTTAGTTTTCGTGGGATACAAACTGGGAAATGTGGTCCGATCGCTTTTGGCGGTGATGATTGCAGATGGGTATCCGCGTGGTACACAGAGGCGTAGCCAGGAATTTTTCAGGGGGGGGGGGGGGCGCTGGGGGGCGCTGGGGGGCTGGAACATTTCATGGGGGGGGGGGGCGGCCTCATGTAGATCAATGATAATTTTTTTAGAAACTGAAAATCTCAGTCCCCCCATGGCTACGCCACTGGTGGTATATGTACATCTATTTGCATAGGATTTCCTGATACAGTGCGATTTATAAATAATTACTCTGGATTTTTTATCATTTTCTTTTCCTGCGACCTTTACTATTCTGATAAAAGTTTGGAGTAAAATTCATACTTTTCAAAAAAATGTCGGTGGCTAGAACATCACCAATGACTGTAGTTTTATCACCAAAGGGTGCTGTTATCCAACTAAATACGTTTATTTACGCCGCTCACAGTATTTTGAGCTCAGACAACACGTTACAAGTTTAAGTGTAACAAACAGAAACCAACTGATGTATTGTCCATCTATTTATATATATTGTTTCCTCTATGTATATTTGCCAATTAAGATTACGCCCCTAAGTATGTTTGTCATATCTGAAAAAAGGCTAACAGAACCTTATTGAAGTTGCATCTAAATTTTGCGTTTGTTCATGAATTGAAGGAACGATATATGACCTGTTTGGGGTTTAAGGAATCAGCAAAAAGATTATTAATCAAATTAAGTTTTGCCCTTCTCCGACGTTTTAAACACTGTATACTCGGTGTGTAACCTCCATAGTGAGAGTTGGAAAAAATCATTGGGTGGGACTCCAACCGACGACCTCCTGCTTTCTAGTGCAGATGTCTTACTACTCGATCACCGAGCTAACGGGATCGGTTGGCCGGTTCGAATCTGATGTACATAGCAGCGGGTACCGCATAAACTATTATAAGATGGAACTTCCAAAGTTCCATCTTATAATAAAAAGATTATTGTTGTTTTGTTAGTCAACCTTGGGATAATGATGTCCAATCAACATTTTTGCACACCTGCAGGTACCAGCTTTACCAGTGTAAAAATTGCATTTACTATAAGGTAACAGTGGACAAGTTTGTGTCCAACAGCAGTACAATAGCCAGAACATTCATTTGTTTATGTTTGCGCAGATTTATTTTGTGCACTGCCTTACTACCAGACTGGAAATCCATTAATTTCCTTTACATGTTTTTTTTCCATAGAGGAAAACAGTCAATCTGTTTCAGACACATTGTTTTATTGAAGCAATTTGTTGTTTGTTTTGATCTGAATAGGAGTGCAAGCACCCAGACCCCAGCACAGTCAGAGGCCAGACCAAGAACCAAGGCTGACAGATCAATGCCAAGAAGCTGGTAACAAGACTAGGGACAAGTTAAAGCTACTTTATAAAACAACAGGCAGTTACGTGCAGTTGTCACCTAAGGTTGATGATGACCAAATGCACATAGCTGGTATATACACCAAAGTACAGTTAGACACACGGGAAGGGGTAGCAGATGTCACTGGCCAGAAAGGGGAAACTGTAAACTCAACAGAATATGTTAAAATATTCAGATTAAGGACAAGAACTGGGGAACTCATCAAACGCCTCCTTTTCTTTGGCATGGGAGGTGTCGGGAAGTCCACTATTTTTGATAAGATTGCATTCGACTGGGCCGATGAGACAAGCGAAATCCTGAACGGATTCAAGCTTGTCTTTCTTTTAGAGATGTGTGCCCTGTCGCAAAAATCTGACCTTATTGATTCAACTTTTGATCAACTTCTACACAACGATCCAGGAATAGCAAAAGATAAACTTGATCAATTCATCGAGGCCAACCCAAATGAGGTCTTGATTCTTTTGGATGGTTTTGATGAAATGAGGACCAAAACACTCCATGCAGCCTCATTTGGTTCTATCCTAAAAGCACTCAATAGAACAAAATACCAGGAATGTTTCATTTGCGTATCCACTCGCCCCTCTCATCTTGAGACACTGATGTCAAAAACACTTGTCCAAAATCCTTGCATACACGTAAAGGTTATGGGGTTTGCTGACAAGGATGTCAATGAATACGTTCAGAAATTCTATGACAAAGATCCTGATAGTGGCAGTGCGCTAATGCAAACCATTCGCAAGTCCAACACGCTGCGTGGTTTTTCAACCACTCCAATGTTGCTACTTCTCATGTGCTTGTTGTGGAGAGAGAGTAACAAACTCCCAGAAACAACTTCAAGTCTCTTCAGTGAGGCAGTTGAGCACATGTTCACAAGAAAAATCGAAGATATCGAAGATGCATCGGAAATAGTGATTGCCATAGGAAAAACTGCGTTGAATGGACTCATGAATGCCAACAAGAGATTTTCATTTCAAGAAAATGAGTTTGAACCGAATGCCCTGGACCTGGCACTAAAAACGGGCATCCTAACCAAAGCGAGAGTTATCAAAAACCGCAAATCCCACAACAACATACAATTCATGCACAAAACTATGCAGGAATACTGTGCAGCGAAATACTTGCAGAGTTTGACATTCCCAACCCTCAGATTTCTTACGCGTTGGAAGAAAAAAAGAACATTTCAGAGCAAGTTGAGGCAAATGTGTTCAAAACTTCAGGACGTTGTTTCAAATGATTTTCTCTTTCGTTTTTGTTGTGGTGACAATGAGAGGTGCATGACCAAAATCGTGAACTTACTTAACCGTAAGTTCAATAAGGATGAGCCCAGGTACCAATCAGATGTAGTACAAGCGATTATTCGAAACTGCTTTTTTGAAAGCCAATCAAAAAAACCCCCACAGTGTCTTACCAGAGACTCACAGATCCCTTCAACTATCAAGGTGGATAACAATAATGATTTCCGCAGTCTCATGTACCTTCTTGAAATCCTCAGTAGTGCTGAGAGCCGCACGGCACAACTGGCACTCGTTGAAACAATTGAGGTTTCTCGTGTGTCTTCGGTCGGTGATTCAGCTGTTGCCCTGGGTTACATGGAAAACCTCAGGAATATGAGGCTCTACAGTTGTCCTTTAGTGACGGGCGATCTTGAGAAAACCCTGACGTCACTGAAATGCCACAAACTCTTGACCGATTTGTGCATAAAGTGGGACAGTACATTGGGGGGTAGAGCTATAGAATGGGCCCCTCATATCAAACACTTGACAAGCCTCAACAAACTGGAAATAAGTTACTGCGAACTTCAGATTACAGACATTGAGCACATTGCCTTGTCTTTCAGTGACATGCCCAAACTGACTGCCTTAATCCTTGCCGGCAACACAACATTGGGCGGGTCGGCTGACTTGTGGACCAAGAATTTGTTGCGATTTACGAACATACAGACGTTGAACCTGAGTAATTGTACATTACAATGGACAGATATCAAACACATTGCCTGGGCTGTAGGTACCATGCCAAGCCTGACTGACTTGATCCTCGCTGACAACCCGGCACTTGGGGTGTCGACTGAGAAATGGTCCCATTATTTGTTAAGAGTAAAGAAAAAGCACACGCTGGACCTTAGCAATTCCTCACTTACATGGGAAGATATCGATACGATTTCCGTTGTGTTAGACCTCATTCCCACACTGACTAACTTGAGCCTTACCGGTAACACAGCGTTGGGCAGATCGGCTAACTTGTGGGCCGAGAATTTGTTGCGATTTATGAACATACAGACGTTGTACCTGAGTAATTGTACATTGCAATGGACAGACATTGAACACATCGCCTCGGCTGTAGGTACTATGCCAAGCCTGACTGACTTGATCCTGACTGACAACCCGGCGCTTGGGGTATCGACTGAGAAGTGGTCCCATTATTTGTTAAGAGTAAAGCAAAAAGACACGCTGGACCTGAGCAATTCCTTACTAACGTGGGAAGATATCGATACGATTTCCGTTGTGTTAGACCACATTCCCACACTGACTAACTTGAACCTTACCAGTAACACAGTGTTGGGCGGATCGGCCAAAGCATGGACCAATCATTTGTGGCGATTTACGAACATACAGACGTTGAACCTGAGTAATTGTACATTGCAATGGACAGACATTAAACACATCGCCTCGGCTATAAGTGGCATACCCACACTGACTAACTTGAGCCTTGCCGGCAACACAGCGTTGGGCGGATCGGCTGACTTGTGGGCCAAGAACTTGTTGGGATTTACGAAACTACAGACGTTGAACTTGAGTAATTGTACAATACAATGGACAGATATCGAACACATTGCTTGGGCTTTAGGTGCCATGCCAAGCCTGACTGACTTGATCCTCACTGACAACCCAGCGCTTGGGGTATCGACTGAGAAGTGGTCCCATTATTTGCTAAGAGTAAAGCAAAAAGACACGCTGGACCTGAGCAATTACTCAGTAACGTGGGAAGATATCGATATGATTTGCGTTGTGTTAGACCGCATTCCCACACTGACTAACTTGAACCTTACCAGTAACACAGCGTTGGGCGGATCGGCTATCTTGTGGGCAAAGAACTATTTGCGATTTACGAAAATACAGACGTTGAACCTGAGCGATTGTTCATTGCAATTGACAGACATTGAACACATCGCCTCGGTTTTAAGTGGCATACTCACATTGAGCCTTGCCGGCAACACAGCGTTGGGCGGATCGGCTGACTTGTGGGCCGAGAACTTGTTGCGATTTCCGAACCTACAGACGTTGAACCTGAGTAATTGTACATTACGATGGACAGATATCAAACACATTGCCTCGGCTTTAGATAACATGCCAAGCCTGACTGACTTGATCCTCACTGACAACCCAGCGCTTGGGGTGTCCACTGAGAAGTGGTCCCGTTACTTGTTAAGAGTAAAGCAAAAGCACACGCTGGACCTGAGCAATTCCTCACTAACGTGGGAGGATATTGATACGATTTCCGTTGTGTTAGACCACATTCCCACACTGACTAACTTAAACCTTACCGGTAACACAGCGTTGGGCAGATCGGCTGACTTGTCGGCAAAGAACTTGTTGCGATTTACGAACCTACAGACGTTGAACCTGAGTAATTGTACATTGCAAGGGACAGACATTGAACACATCGCCTCGGCTTTAAGTGGCATACCCACACTGACTAACTTGAGCCTTGCCAGCAACACAGCGTTGGGCGGATTGGCTAACTTGTGGGCTGAGAACTTGTTGCGATTTACGAACATACAGACGTTGAACCTGAGCAATTGTACATTGCAATGGACAGACATTGAACACATCGCCTCGGTTATAAGTGGCATACCCACACTGACTAACTTGAGCCTTGCCGGCAACACAGCGTTGGGCGGATCGGCTAACTTGTGGGCCATGAACTTGTTGCGATTTAGGAACCTACAGACGTTGAACCTGAGTAATTGTACATTACAATGGACAGATATCAAACGAATTGCTTGGGCTTCAGGTGCCATGCCACGCCTGACTAACTTGATCCTCACTGACAACCCAGCGCTTGGGGTATCGACTGAGAAGTGGTCCCATTATTTGCTAAGAGTAAAGCAAAAAGACACGCTGGACCTGAGCAATTACTCATTAACGTGGGAAGATATCGATATGATTTGCGTTGTGTTAGACCGCATTCCCACACTGACTAACTTGAACCTTACCAGTAACACAGCGTTGGGCGAATCGGCTAACTTGTGGGCAAAGAACTGTTTGCGATTTACGAAAATACAGACGTTGAACCTGAGCGATTGTACATTGCAATTGACAGACTTTGAACACATCGCCTCGGTTTTAAGTGGCATACTCACATTGACTAACTTGAGCCTTGCCGGCAACACAGCGCTGGGCGGATCGGCTAACGTGTGGGCCAAGAACTTGTTGCGATTTACGAACCTACAGACGTTGAACCTGAGTAATTGTACATTGCAATGGACAGACATTGAACACATCGCCTTGGCTGTAGGTACTATGCCAAGCCTGACTGACTTGATCCTGACTGACAACCCGGCGCTTGGGGTGTCGACTGAGAAGTGGTCCCATTATTTGTTAAGAGTAAAGCAAAAAGACACGCTGGACCTGAGCAATTCCTTACTAACGTGGGAAGATATCGATACGATTTCCGTTGTGTTAGACCGTATTCCCACACTGACTAACTTGAACCTTACCGGTAACACAGCGTTGGGCAGATCGGCTAACTTGTGGGCCGAGAATTTGTTGCGATTTATGAACATACAGACGTTGAACCTGAGTAATTGTACATTACAATGGAGAGACATCAACCACATTGCCTTGGCTGTAGGTGCCATGCCAAGCCTGACTGACTTGATCCTCACTGACAACCCGGCACTTGGCGTATTGACAGAGAAGTTGTCCCATTATTTGTTCAAAGTAAAGCAAAGAGACACGCTGGACCTGAGCAATTACTCAGTAACGTGGAAAGATATCGATACGATTTCTGTTGTGTTAGACCGCATACCCAGACTGACTAACTTGAGCCTTGCCGGCAACACAGCGTTGGGCGGATCGGCTAACTTGTGGGCCGAGAACTTGTTGCGATTTACGAACATACAGACGTTGAACCTGAGCAATTGTACATTACAATGGACAGACTTCGAACACATTGCCTTGGCTGTAGGTACTATGCCAAGCCTGACTGACTTGATCCTCGCTGACAACCCGGCACTTGGGGTGTCGACTGAGGAGTGGTCCCGTTACTTGTTAAGAGTGAAGGAAAAACATACGCTGGACCTGAGCAATTCCTCACTAACGTGGAAAGATGTTGGTACAATTTCCACTGTGGTAAGCCACATTCTCACACTGAAATACTTGAGCCTTGCCGGCAACCAAGCACTGGGCAGATCGGCTGAGAAGTGGGCCAAGGAATTGCCGAAAATGTTGCGATTAAATAGGCTGGACCTGAGCTTTTGCGATTTGACACCGACAGACATTGAACACATTGCCCCGGCTGTAGGTAACATGCCCAAACTGACTGCCTTGAACCTTGCTTCTAACAAAGCAATGAGTGAGTCGGCTTGTGCTAAGGAATTGGCGAAGATGACACACTTAAACAGGCTTGACCTGAGAGATTGTAACTTCCAACCATCAGACTTTGAACATATCGCCTCTGCTGTAGGTGAGATGCTCAGACTGACTGACTTGTACATTGGTGGCAACCTTGAATTGTTAGATAAGTTGAAGTCCCGCTTCCCATCGCTTAGGGTTCACATGGACCTCTCCCGCTGGGAGTTACCATTTTTATAACAAAATCAAATATGAACATTCTCAATGAAAGAGAGACACTTTTTTTTACATGACAATGTTAAAAACCTATGGGAAAAATCAGATATTTAGGGTATGCTAAACATAATTACGAAATTTAAATTTAGGTGAAAGTTTTGTGGAAACTGGGATTTGTTTTCTTCTCAGCCACATTAACCACACAAAATATTTGTCCCAGCAACAATAAATCAGATTTTGTAAAATATCACCCTTTTTGCTAAAACAAAAATTAACACTGTGAAATCGGAATTTACAAAATAAAATGTGTCATTCCAGGATGCGTGTTGCAAGTTGAAACATTCTCGATTCAGATCATCAATTAGCTGTTCACCTTCTACGTACGACACAGTGGCCATCAAATTCAAACTGACACTCTCAGATTTGACCTGACACACTTCTGGGTCAAAATGACAATTCATCTTGGTCAAATGACCGCAAAGGTGACTCAGGGAAGTGTCATTTTGACCCGGAAAAGTGTCAAGTCAAAGCTGACCTGGATTCATGGCCAATCTGACCCAGGACTTTTTAGAGTGTAAATGATTTGCCGATTGTGCATCTGCAAACATTTTAAATTGGCAAACAAAATTATAATAGGCTTCGAATCTTTACGTGTGTGCAAGAAAATATCGCTGATTTGAAAACCTAGTGGATGTATGGTACTCGTTGATTTCTTATCAAACCCTGAGGCTGTATGGGTGGTTTGGTCCATTTCCTTCACAAGTTGAAATTTGTGTTCATGTACAACGTTAAAACAATGAAGTGAAAAGATTGCGGGTAACACCATGTAATCTCTTCTTTGAAAAAGTGTGGTTCTGAAAAGAACCGCTTGGTTGAATTTAGAACTCGACGTTTCGGACAGTGTGCTCTGTCCGTCCTCAAAGAAAAGATTACTTTCCACATGGCGTTACCCGCGATCTTTCTACTTTATCTCATCCACCATGTTAAAATATTGAGTATCCTTTTAGTAGTGGATTCATCCAACCGCAGATGACAAATACATGTACATTTTTGTAAATAGAATTGTATTTTTATAGACTTATTGGCCTGATAATTATAGTCTTAGTATAAACAATTTTAAACCTTGAGTATTGAGTGTTTTTGGGATTACTCCAACTACCAACTAGAGTATCGGTAATAATTCTGTCAATAATGTAAACAAGATTGTCATTTTTTTTTTTAAAGAACCGTTTATTTTACACGCTGTTTATATTTTGTATAAACTTTGGTGCTAAGATTGTTGTGAAGATTACTTAAAACACTGCAAGTGAAGCAGTAACTGTTGAGGGGGATGGGATCCTTGCACAACTGTATTCAGGATTATGTATCCGTTCTAAGTGAAAATGAAGTCTACCAAAATGTGGAAAAAGAAACTTCTGACATATTTGGATATAAATCAAATTAGTGTCATGTCATATTTAGTGATGTCAAATTTGCAGTCTGTGTCTTGCAGTGACTTATATGCTGGATTCGATGTTTTAATGAAGTATTTCAGTTGAAGGAAAATTCATCAGTTTCAAATAACCGTCAAGCAGATTATGTTAGTACATGTAGCTGTTTTTCATTGATATCTGTTATCAGTAAATAATACTCATAAAAATAACTTGAGAATTAACTCCTTTACGCAAGTAATAACCTGATGGAGTAGACGTATGAATTGTACTCTGGATCCACAAAACAAAATACATCATGTTTGTATCTCACAATTGTTTCTGGTGTGATCAATCATTTTGTGTCAATTATATACTCTGTTAATTAGGTTGCATTGTACCTTTAAACTGTATTAATTTGTAAAAAGAAATTGCAAACTTCAACATATTTCTCACGCACTTGCATATTTGAGTCACAATTTTGGCAACACAAAAAGAGAAATGTCCCAAGCTGCTACAATAGAGACGCAGCGATAAGGGAGTCCAACTATACGTGCATTAATGACATATTGATCAAGCATAGAAGAATAAACGTATACATTTTTGCTACTTGACTGCGCGTAAAATCTATTTGTTAATTTGGGGCCACCGTAGCATATTATTCATGAATCAGAATGAAACTTCGCTCACACCCCCACCCTGCAAGCTAATAAACAACCTCAAACACTAAGGGCTAAAATATGAAATTTGTGGATGATTTTGAAGGTGATTCTCCAGAAAAATCCATTGCCATGGCTGTTGTGCATGTCTTCTGTACCTACCATGAATACCCATGAAGCGTCGCATGATCACAATAGATTTTCAAAATCACTGCACCTGCGGGTCGTCTGCATGTACCTTCATGCAGTGTACACGAGGGATTGGGTACCAAACCGCTTTCAGGCGCACTATTGGTTTCAATTTTTGTCTGGTTCAATGTCGTGGAAAGCATGATCAATGCACAAGCTAAACACTTCTAGGGCCCTACCCCCTTTATTGACATGTTTGAAATGACATGGTGAAATAGATGTCTGCAACATATTCGCAACAAAAGCCTGTTATCAGAAGTTCTGATTCAGAACCATGATTATTTATAAGAAACATCAAGTAACGAAAGTAAATTACTTATCAGGTTTTATAAGTCAATTGACAAGCTAGAATGCACATTTTGACCGCCGATTGTTTTTTCCTGTTTCAAAATAAGTAAAAAAAAGGCTTAAACATTTCTTAGACTTAACATTGTTTAAACTTCATAAGCGTCTTTTTTCCCCTCCCAATAACAATATTATTCGCAACATTCATCCTTCATGCCTTGATCGCTTGCCAATGTGACGACTGGAAAAGGAGTGGCCTTGACTTGACTGGAGACAAGAATTCTGTCTCAAGCCAAACAAACAAATCATTTGCTTGCAGCTAGCGTAATTTTTATTCCTAGGAGGGTTAGGGGCAATGTCATGAATAATTTATGTTTATCCATGAGAACGGACAATGACATCAACAGCATTGTTGTTAGATACTCAACTAGTTACAATACATTAAAGCATTTTAAAGAACGGTTGTCGTCGAGCTACCACACAGTAGCCTAGTGGATAGCGAGATGAGCTATGGATACAAAGATCCCTGGTTCGATTCCACGTCTTCGCTGCTCATTTTTCATCAGCTATTTTTCTTCTCCAAATTTATCACTGAGATAATTTTAAATTGAGGGGAAAATAGAACGAGAACCTAAGTCTTGCAATGATTCAAAGGAAAAACTGAATTATTCATGACATTGCCCCTAACCCTCCTAGGAAAAAAAAATACGCGCGAGGGCCAGCCTTTTTTAAGGTGCGTCGGAATAATCACTTTCCAATTCTACCCCCAGTGGTCTAGTTCCCGCAGGGCGCGTTGGCGACGCAAAAGCATCCCGAAATAATAATTTAAATAAATTAATGCAAAATTGTTTCTATTAAATGAAAACATAACATTTTAATTGAATAAACTATTCAATTTGTAAAAGAGCACGATGCGTTTACCTTTAATTTATCCGAGAACTTATCCGAGTGACTTTTAAATGAGCCGCAAGTTCACGTCTGCCGTAAAGTGTTGTTTTCTCAGAGAAAATGATAAGGGAACTCGGTCTTCGTTCCTCTTTGACTTTTTGAATCTTTGTTATCGTTTCCATTATTCTTTACTTTGCCCACGGAAGAATAAGATTGAGAAGGAATTGCGTATAAGAAAGGGGGCGGGGCGGTGGGGGGGGGTGCAAAAAAATCATCTTCATCTTAATCAGACTATTCTACAAAATCCAAGTTGAAAACGACAGCAACAAACACAATAACTCAAACCAATACACAGCTTGTCATAACTGGATTTAAAATATCTTCATTCTGAATACCAATTTCCGTATTGACAATGACTTGAGATCGTGAACATTCCTTCAATTATATATAAAAAGCACATTTTGATATTGACAAAATGATTACACTTTTGGTGGAAATGTAACTTGTAACGATATGGAATGCGAAAAATCAGTTAAGTTGTAATAAATCATAAGCAGTCACTTTTGAGAAATACCATTCCAAACTGTTTCCCCATTTTTACTTTGTCCAAATTTGTCTTTAAAATCATACACGTTATGGCTGATATGCACTTTTCCAATTAAAAACAAATTGCAGGGATACATTTAATTGATCTATTAGTAAATCTAGCTGTATTTTGACAAAGCTATAATAACTAAGCTTTATTATATTAGGATATTGGGTTTTTTTTAGGATCGCAGCTGGTATGAAAATTAAACTTAAAGTTGTATCTTACAAACTATTAACAGCACATGATGACATCAATACTTCTAGAAAGCTTATTCCTTGTTAAAACAAACAGTGTTATTTTTTAATAACAAGTAACAAAATGCGGTTTATTTGTTAAATTTTAGGAAATATATTTGGCAAGCTTGAATTAAAGGATTAAAAGCTTTTTAATAAAGATCTGCTCTGAAACACTTTTGAATTTGGTTTATAAGAATTCTGGGCAAAGCATATTATAAACTTCACTTTATCAAAAACGCAATGCAAGATGAAAATAACATAAGACAATGCACACGTTTTTTTCTTTAGTAAGTAATTAACATCATATTTACTCAGCCAAAATCAAAATTTCATTTTGAAAATATCAATGAAACACGTGCATGTTTCAATTTTCCATTTACTCAAATTCCCTTACTTTACTGTTTGGATATAAAAATCAATTCAAGACAATGTTTTACAAACAGAATCATTATAATTAAACATGCATTTTCCATGCATCATGCATTCTGTGTTAGCTTGCAAATTATATGCATGTTACACTGTCATAAATAATTTTACATTAAATCGATATAGGTCTTCAATACAGCTTGGCGCGTATCTCGATTACTCGAGTACTCGTGAGTAGTTTATGGTACTCAGTGTTCTACTCATGGTTTTTCATCTACTCGAGTACTCATCCTGGTGCGAGTAGAAGCAGGAACTCGCGAGTAGCAATTTAGGGTTTAGGGTTCACGGCTTAAAGGGAATATACATCATTTGCTTATGCTGTAATTTTCAGAAATGGATGGATTTGGGGGGTTGGTAATATATAGCAAATATTGTTACACTGACTATTTTTTACGTTTTGGGTTCGCAGATGCTATAAAAACCAAGAAAAGCAATCATTTTCCTGTAGTCTGGTTTCCTGACTCCATTTAAGATGAAACGGAGCAATTTATTGACGTTGGAGAATCGTTAGGTCACGGAACCAGTCTAGATGGCTTGTACCCGTTCACAGGTGTGTAATCGATTGCAAACAAAACCAGACTAACTAAAATGTGGTCAACTGGGGCCAGTATTTGAAACAAAGCCCGTTTTTTCCAATGCTGGTCAGCCGACCAGCGTTGGAAATTGATACGAAAATAGCACTTTTCTTGAAAATGACAGTATACCAGGTGCCATGATTTTACAGGATGCTTTACACTGTCACTCACTAACAGTCCAGCAAGGTATTTCAAAATAATTTGGTAGTTTTATTTCTTAATGTTTGCAAATGTTGTATTTGCCCTTTAATATGTGCTCTGCAAACAGGGAATCACTCCCTCCACCTCTCTCTCCCTAGGATTTTGTCCCCCAAAAGAAACTCAAGTAAATGACTCAAAACGTCGCACAGTAAGGATATCTCAGTGCTTAAGAATGTGGTGTGAGTTGCACGCTATTTACTTGTAGTAACTTCCAGTCATACTAACACGTATGTCATTTTCCTGCAAGTATGGGAATTCGGTAACTACTCGTGAGTACTCGACTACTCGCGAGTAAGTTCTTTGCGAGTACTCGAGTTGAAAAATCCACTACTCGCCCAGGCCTAGTCTTCAAGTAAACTTCAAAAACTATGACAAACAACCAACTTTGTTTGACTTGAAATGCAGCCGATATATCACTAATGAAATTATTCAAATGATATCAATTGATTTCACTTAAAGTTGTGTTCCGTGTGCTCTTCAACAAATCCGGTTTTTCTCTTTTAAATTTAAATAAATTTCAACTTCTATGTTTTTGTCCAACCAAACACTCTTGGGTTTTTTGGAGGGGGCATCTACAATCCTCAGAATTTGTTTTATTTTTTTATTTTGGGAACAAACAGATCTGCCTTGTGAGCAGACTGGCTCCCGGTCAATACATTATCGACATTGTTTATGGGTTGGGAACCAGTCTCCCCTGTAAGAACAGAATTACTGTGGGCTGCAAGTAATTTGAAATTTCAAACTATAGCGTTGGTTGATTCTTTTTCGGTCGTTTTCTCAATCCCAAAAAGTGAATAACTTTTGTATTGCTAGAAAAATAGCAAGTTAGAAAAGGAATTCATCTTTTTTCCGGGACGAAACTTGAAAATAGCACAGGGAATGGAACTTTAATGTAAACCTCAACGCAACAAAAAAGTTTCAGTAAAAGTGCGCACTACCCACTCCACAGCTGATCCTTAATTTGTTGTCCAGTAAAAATGTTTAAGTCCTAATATAATTTTTGCAAAGATAATAATTTGCAGAGAAAAGTGGCGTCAAGAACCAGTCATTGGAGAAAAAAGCCCAATTTGATTGTATTACTTCTGCACGTAACCGTTCCCTGCAAGATTTCACAATAATTGACATAACAAATATATTTGTAAGTCTTCACAAATATCTCATCCGGTAGTATTACTTTTTATCACTGATTAACCAAAAGTGCCCTCAAGCAAATTCGACTTGATCAACTGTACATGCCTATATACCATTATCATACCAGTAGTAGCCTAAGTAACTTTTTCAAACGGGCAAACCATTTCTGGCGGTGTGTCCAACATATACAATTAATGTTTTTTTATTGTGCTCTGGTGAATGATAGAATATTTTTCTGGAATCAAAATTTACATTTTCAACTTTCCGAACAAAAATAGTTCCTATTTTTCTTTTCATTGATATATTGCTGACATTCCGAGGTAGCAAACGTTAGCTCAAGCAACAGTTTAGTCATAATGAGGTCAGCCTTTTTTAACCAAATTAATTAGTTTTATTAGTCTTATATTTAACTGACAAATTCGATGAGGATTTTTAAACATGTCAGCTAACCATTTTTTAACGATTTATGATTACCGTACCTTGCTAAAGACTTGAGGATAGTATTATGATCAGGTGCGTAGCCAGGGATTTGTTTGCCCCATGCAAAACAGAATTTTCGTTCCGTTAAACCCGTTTTCAGCATCCCGATTTTGCTTCTATCAGCGTCCTGATTTCGCTTTTAATATCTTCATCCTTTTGCAATCTGCCACTCTGCATTCCCTGGCTACGACACTGATTGTGACATTAAGTGGTGTCCTACAGTTACAACAATTCTAAATTATGCTTACACATGAATTCACATTTCTCCCCTTAGAATTTCTGGCCACATTGTTTATCTGGCAAAAACATGTAGTCAGTTCCCAAAATATCAAAGCAATCTGCAAAATCAAATTCCCTGTAGCTCTGAGATTTTGGAAAGTGTTAAATGAGCAGTGCCAAAAAGGAATTAGTTTCACATCTTTTTTGGGATACTCTTAAAATGATCCGATTAAATACAGAAACTTGCAATCAGAATCATCAATCGAAACATTTTATCTAGAATTGCAAGACCAGCCAGACAAATTTTTCAACTTGGACTGTTACGATCTGTTTTATTTCAAATCGTTTCGATGCAGCCATACTATAAACCCCGATCTGTCATCTCCAGTATGTACTTTAATCATACATAAATAACGTAGCAGTGAAGTAGTCAGACACATCTGAAAGTATGTGCTGGGCTTGGCGTGGTAGGGTAAAAGGGGGAGTATTCGACCAGATAAGGAAAACCGGACACTGCCTGGTGTTAATGAGAGTGAGATCTTAACCATAATTGTGACCGGCTCCACAAAAAAGGGTATTATGTCGCAAACAAGTGAAATTGAGTTATGTGCATGGTTGGAAAGCCCACAATGTAAGCTTTCATTTGGTATATAATAGAACTCCATAGCCCCTCCCGTTCTGGAGATATGATGCATTTGCATATTAATTACTTCCTTGGAGTTCAAATTGCACAACTGAGAAAACAGGCTTTGAAATAGCTGGCTTTGTTGTAGAACAACAGAATCAAAATTAACATTTCTGTGAATGAAACCTGAAACTATAGGTATTAAAGATGTCAATCACGATAAAAAATGAAAATCACATTTTGACGAAATGTTCACCCTCTCAATATTGAGTGGGCCATTGCACAATAAAGCTCAGCGCGACTTAATACCCTTTTTTGTGGTGCCGGTCACAATTACTTATGACATGATCATGTACTTACTATGTTTGCAGCATAGCATCTACCCTAGTCGGACTCAAGGTTAATGTTTGATAAAGAGTGGTCAAGCTCTCTTCCCCAAACCCCCACCTCCCCCGAATCCCCCCTGGTCAAAAATACCCCCTCTTTATACCCTTTTATCTTAACTCCACAACTTGTACATGACATAACCTGATGTCATCATCTCCTTGGCAGAACTGTCCTTCACCCCTTGGCAGTGTTTAGCTGGGCATGATAGCAGGGAGAGTAGCTTGTGGTGGGGCTTGGATGGCCGCTGTTTAGAACAAATATCACCAACAAAGAATAATAATAATATTGTTGTGCTAATATGGCGCTTTACACCAAGTCTCAAAGCCCTTCACAATGTTACCCCTGTCTATCAGGCTGTGAGACCATTTTACTGCAGCAGCTCCAGATCACCGCAATCTGGTGTCTACCCTCACAGGTACCCATTTACACTCTGAAGTGGAGAGAGGTAATTGTAGTACACTGTCTTGCCCAAGAACACAAACAAGGTTCAAACCCACGTACCGTTACACATGAGTCGAACATCATAACCATAACTGTGCTGCCGCTTGGTTTACATACATTTAATCTAGTACAAAGCAAAGTTACCCACGCCAAACCAAAAAGAAATATACATATATAGCAGGACATTCTGTGTGGTACATGTAACCTTTTTTCCTTCTTTTATTTTTCGAAGCAAATATTTGGGTGCTGAGCACCTTTTTATATAGCTCCATAGAAACTGACCTCCACCGAGGCCAATATAAGTCCTAAAAAAGACTAACTAGACCAGGCAAGCATTGTAAAGCTGGTCCCAGAGTGCACACATTTCTATGCAGTTGATTCAGAATGTCAAAAAAGTTGGTAAAATAAGCTGCAGAAGTGATAACGTGAGGGAACGAAAAAATCCACCTTTCCCTGTATGAAAGAAGACTTGACTTTTGCCTACACATGCATCATGAAAGTGATAGACTTTTAGCATGTCTAACTCTAAAGTGACATTTTGTTCGGGAGTCGGGGAGTCAGTCAGTCAGTCAGTCAGCCAGTACAAAGAGGATAGGCAAGCCCCTCTAAAACCACCACATGTACACACAGTCAATATGGGCGATTCCCAATATAGTGCGCCACCAAGAGGTTGCTACGGAGTCTATTTTTCGCAGTGCATTGTGGGAGATGATCAACACATTTGCAAGGCACGGGACAGTTAAAATTGTTAGTTTGTCTGGTCAGTAGTTTCGTAAGCGTATGATTGAAGTATCTTTTTTCTTTTCTTTTTATCAAAGATGGTGTTTTTTGTGAGTTGGCAGTATGCTATGCCCCGATCTATCAAAAATGTTGCCTACTGACATTCGTTCAAATCGCAGCAAGTCGGCCATGTTTTTGTGGACTGTATGTAAACCTGCAAAATGGACTTTCCAGGGTAGCCTCTGTATTGAGAATTGCCTGTATTGTAAGACAAGTTTCTTCAATGTGAGTCCATTTAATATTCAACAAACCTTGGTTGTTGGGTGCCTCTGGTAATGCTCCTTGTTGGCTCTCACTGTCCTCCTCTGCTGCAGCTTCTGTAAGGGAAGAAAATACTTTTGGATTAGGCAAATATTTAACCTTAAGACCCGTTTTTTTTCCCCACAGTGTCCTCAATCAGTAAGGAAAATGAATATTGTTTAGTGTTTTACCTTCCTTTTCCTTTTCCTTTGTTTCTTCTTGTTCTTCAGCGGCCGTCTTGTCGGCACGGAAGAAGATGCGAGCACTGCTAAGACTGTAGTACAGCAGGTCAAACTCCTAAAGCATGATGAGAAACATAGAGCAATAGTTTTCTCCTTTTTTATCCTTTTTTTGTGAGGGTGAGGGCTTAACAAGAGCCCTCTCTTCCAGCCTTGAAAATTGTTTTCATTTTTATTCAGTGTACATTAGTTCCAAATAAACCACAATGGAAAACTGACTGAACATTATAAATATATTTTAAAGTTGAACAAAGAAATTGACTTGAGCGAGGCTGAACCCGCGACCTCCGGGTTGCCGTTCTGTTGCTCTACCAACTTAGCTATCCAGCCCTTTGTTTACGGTTCCCCAATTCATCAATGTCTTTCTTCAACAGGTGCAAGACACTTGAACAAAGGCACTGACTAGCGCCCATTGACATATTGGTAAATTTGTCTGTGCACAAGTGCACCCTCTACAGTGGAACGTACAAAGAAATTGAAGGATGCTGTTATGTGTCAAACTTAGGTGCATTTGTCTCAAGTAGAATCTGCAGATTAGTGTATGTTCACTTGAAAATTACTCAATGCAATACCAGTGTACAACTGGGCGACAGGTTGGCGCAGTGGTTTTTTCCTTGCGCTCAACATCTACAGTCCCGGTTCAATTTCCTGCATTGGTCCACCATTTGGATTTAGTTTTCAGTCATTACCGGATTCCACCGTTTCCCCCGTCTTCTGGCATTTTCCTTCAACGTCTAATACTGTAATTTCTTAATTGTCTTCATGTCTGCAGATTTCTTCAGGCTTTTGAGCTGCTATGCCTCATATGCTTTGGAAGAATCCTCGGTTTCATAATACTTGTACTCACTCTCTGGTACGTGTCCAGTCTCTTGATAGTCAGGCTGACTGTCTGCTGGAGTTTCTCATCGTTAGCCTGTTGTTTCTTCACAGTCTCCTGATAATTGTCACCCAAAAGAGAAAAAAATGTTAGCTTTACAGAAATTAAGAATTTGAAACCAAATTTCACGTTCAGAGCTCCTAATGATGAAATTGGACAAGTGATTTACAGAGTTCTTTTATTTCCTCGAATTGTTTCTTTGCCGCCTCTGGATGATGTCACAAACAGAGAAGAACAGCTAGCTGACAAAAATCTTAGAATGACAAGTGAAAAACGATTTTAAGACTTCTGTAATTTCTCTTTGTTTAAAATACAGGTCAGCCATTTCTGTGAGGTTTTAAAACCACAAAATCAAATGTTTTTTACTTTGCTTTTTTTTTGTAGCAAAAAAATGTTACCGGCTTTTGAATGAGAGACATTGACTGAAAAAGATAAGATTTTACCACATTTACTTATGGAATAAATACTTTATTAATTCCAAATTAATAATTCAGTTCTTGCAGGGCAGGCTGGTTCCTAACCCCAATCAGAATAGAAAATGTAGGGATGGGGAACCAGTCTACTCATTGTGCTAGTCTGTTTGTGTCGAAACACAACCCAAAATTAAAGTAATTTTTAAAGAGGGTTGCCGATGCCCGAACTAGTGAAAAAATGGAGTTTGGTTTTTTTTCATTTAAATACAACATTCACAATGACTATTTGTCAGGAAAAAATAGACTTTTTGTTGAAGAGCACGGAGAATACACCTTGAAAGAATCATTCACCTTCTCCTTCTTGTACTTGAAACTGACTGAGTGGAACCAGTGCAGGGAATCAAACTCATTATACTGGTCTAGCAACTTCAGGATGTAAGCCACACCTGCAGGGGGACCAAGAAAAAGAAAAAAAGGGTGTAATATACACATATTGACTGGCAGTGAGGGCACTAGTGTATGTCTATTTCCCGATGGCAGCATTAGCCCTTTTTTGATATAAGGTGGACTCAGTAGATGAATGCTTTGTGGTTTGTGGGAACTCTTTTTGTATTTACCCAAATTTATCCCAAACCGAAAAAGCGCTCTTATATTGTGTCTAAAAGTCTAATGGCCTTTTATAGTCAACCAATGGCCTAAGAGGTGCAACAAAGTGCTTGGTTCTCAAGCACGGCACCTGGTTGTTGCCTGTGCGTGGTACGCATACTACGCGCATGTGGTGTAGAGCGCACGGTCTTGCATACTGCTTAAAATCTGGGCCCAATTACGGCAGCAGAACATTCTGTGCTTACGGTAAGCGTATTTCGCGGGTTATGTGCTTACTGTGAATGTGCAGAATATTTCTGCTAGCACTGTTAGCACATGCTGATTGTAAGCGCAGAATGCTGTGGTTAGCATAGCCATGAAACTGGGCCCAGGTCTTAAACAGTGCTGATCAGTGTTTAAACGGCAGTTTCAGATCACCCACCAGATGGGCTCTCGACCAATAGGAACGGGTAAACTGTCTCAGGTATTTCTAAATGGAATTTTTAACCAGTAAATAGTGGGGAGGTATTCTACAATGACTGGCATACCCATTGCAAATCCATCGTCGGTGAAGGCGGCCCCTATTTTGTTCTTCTTGCTGAGTTTGTCCTTGCAGTTGATGGAGTGCTCAACAAAGTTCAACGACTACAGAAAATTTTAAAAAATGATAGGTATAAGACTAAAGCCGTGACTGAAACAGGCTTCCAGAGCTACTGCTGCATCTATTCTGTCAGCTTGTTCCCACGTAATTGTCATGAGTAAAGACCTAGACAATAGCGCTTGACAAGAGATTTGTACGCGGCCTCAGTCACAAATCAAATTATCACTTCTGTATCAGATCATTGTAGGCTGATGCTGCAATGCCGAGCTGCCCTATCTCCCATGCCCACAGCTAGCTAGCTATGGGCACAGGAGACACACATAATGCTGTAAATGAAACAAGAATCATCCACAGAATTTGTTGAAATTTCTTTTTTGTGCTTAAAAAGAGTTTGTGTAAATCCGAAATGGCTGCCCTGTAAGCCTTTACAAACAGTCTTGATTGAACTGAAGTTTTTTACTTTTTATTTTCAAATTCAAAAACGTAGTTCTGCAAAAAAGAAAAAGATTCCGACGCCAATGTCTTGATTAATGAATGAATTATTGGTCATTGAGTTTTCTGTTGTCAGTATCATTCACATTTTTCAATATGTACCAATTTACGCAAGAAACAAATCTGCAAATTGATTAAAATGAACAGTCAATCAAAACAATAAACAAATACTTGCGGGCCTCCAAATCTGCATGCAACACTTACCAGGGGAGGAAGGATCATGAAGAAGTGTCGCAAGTGCATGTTCTTGGAGCTTCGGAACTCTGGAGCGAAGACATCCACAAGCATCTGAGTGACATCAGAATTTGTTTCGTATTAAATCAACAATGAGCACCCATCATTTAACTTGACAATGATTTTGCTATACATAAAATCTTTGTTTGTTCAGGATTCACATGAATGAATGCTATCATCTTTTTTCAAGTTTTTATAATTATTAGTCCATTGGAGCATTTGCTTTACCTTGAAGTACTCTGTTCCCTCGGCGAAATTCTTCGTCAGATTGCCGATCACGCTGTCCAGATTTCTGTTGACAAAATAACAACCATTACTATCACCTTCAAGTAGAAAATTACGAGGACAACCAATAAATACAGGCATATGCAACAGTTTTTATGACTATCCTCTGGATCTTTTTAAAAAAAAACAATTTGATGTGACTTACTTGGCGGCCGTCTTAGCTTCTTCGGACAAGTTCTCCTCGGAGACAAGTTCCTCAAATTGGACAATGTCGTCAAGATCAGGCACAAACCTTGAAGCGAAAAGATCAGATCAGGAAAAAAGGAGTCGGAGCTTATCTGGTGCACTGGATGATTCTATTTCTATAATTTTAAAGATTTATCAACAAAAATTCCAAGCAGGAGAGAATCTTGCTTTTTGAAATAAATTAAATCTGAGCTTTTACTAATATGTGATGCGATCAAGCTAAATGAGTCGTTTTTTTTACAGATTTGAAAAGAGCACAATCTCAGCATTACTGCTGTGAGAACTCCATGCTAGTACCATCTTTAGTTCAAAAATTATGGAAGTCGGAACACCTAGAGATGTGATGAAGTGATGTGGTGAAGTGGCCCTATTTTGGCCTGTATCTCTAAATGAAAGTTCCCAACAAACGACTCATTTAACTTAATCACATCACATGTGTTTGCAATTTGTGCCTCCGTACACTGAGCTGAAGCCTAAATAAGTAATGGTCTCCCAAACTATGGGAACAAAATTGGTTAGCGTTACTCACATATTCCCCACGTAAATTTGGCTTGTGCTAGAGCAAGCATCCCATAACTATGGATAATATGCTAGCGCAGCAAGATAAGTGCCGTGCTAGTGCAGCAAGAGAATTGTGACCAGAAATGACAGAATTCCATGTTTAACAGAGTCGTGAAAATGTGGCCTTGGTAGTGGCTCAATACAGTTTGCATTTTGGAGTGATATACTACAAAACCCGAGTAATACTGTCCCAACAAAAAAAAAGTGGTAGGTGTAAAAATTGTGGTCCAAATCCATTTAAATTCAAAACATATGTTAAATATTTGTTTCTCTACCTGATGGCATTGCTGCAGCAGCGCAGGCCTCCAGACCGGACCATTCTGATGTATCCCATGGCATTTCCTATCCAGAAAGAAAATATGACATTGTTTTATGACAGGTTACCCATTTTTCCAAGTCCTCAGATGTAAAGGATTTACCAGGTACACTGTAACAGTGGGAATTGCTGGGAATGTGTGGTGTTGCAAGAAGAACATTTCTTTATAATAAGAAGCTCGAAAACTTGTTTCTACTCACCGATCTGACAGATGAGATTGCGGAACTGGTCCAGGTAGCTGTCACCGTCCGGCGTCAGTCCCAGCTTGCGGATCCCCTTGTTGAACTTATCGGCTCTCTCAAACGGGTACATCTGGTGAATCTCAACCTTGTTCTCTTTGAAGTAACGCAGGTCCTACACACAATTAATTTTTGGTTAAAACTTGATCAATCTTCGTTTGACAACGGTTCGTGCAAGGGTTGGGTTCTTCCAAAATGGGATTTCACTCCCATGAGGCTGGTAGTCCAAGAGGGTGGTGCTAGCTTTATGCTGAATTTCCAAAACAAAAACTTTACAAAATTTACCTATGTTAAAGTTGTGTTCCCTGTGCTCTAAAACAAATTGAAATTTTTGTTCTCTGAAATTTTCAGCTTGTACGTTTTATACAACAACACACTTTTTTTTTAAACATACATGTATGCAACCCTCTGAAAAAAAGGTTTTTGTTTGGGGCACAAACAGATCTGCTTTGCGAGCAGACTACAGACTGGCTCCCCGTTTGCACATTATCGATACTGACGGTAGGGCAGGAACCAGTCTACCCTGCATGAATGGAATTATCGCTGTCTGGCAGCAAATATTTCAAAATGTGTAAAGTAATAATTCAACAACTAATTAAACACAGGCATGCAACTGGGAATTCAGGGGGAAAAAAAACGACAAAACTCCAACCACACAAGACTTTGTACAGTATTATTCAAAGTAAAAATGAGAAATCAGCGGATCCGAGGAAACATTGCATGCCTGTAAACATGGACCGATGTTTTTCGGTCGATGTCTAATTTAAATGTGAACGTTTTTGTATTGCTGGAAAAAACCCCAGCAATTTAGAAAAGGAATCTATTTTTTTGGTGAAACTTGAAAATGACACAGGGAATGCAACTTTAAAGTTAATTCCCCATACTTCCTTATTTTGGTGGTGGTGGTGGTGGGGGGAGGGGGACTATCTTCCCAAATTAGCCACAAGGCAGAAAATCAATGTTACACGTTATCACTGACTGAGATCCAATAAGGCTACGTGGGGAAATTTCTCCACAAGTTTCCGGGATTGAGATGACTCATTGGGCTCATGACACACGAGGCAATTTGTTCTGGGCAATCTCCAAGAAGAAGACGAAAGGAAAATTGTAATTCCATGTAATGTTCTAAGGAATATCCATAAACTGTTGGAAAAAATGTAACTTGGTCTTTGTGAGGGTTCCGTCAGCTTGTCCTCTATTAATTTGCCTCCAAGAGGCGCCGCTTAACAAACTCCATCAGTAAATTTAAGACAGTTAGGGAGTAAAGACTAAGTACCTTGAGCAGTCTGGACTTGATGTGCTCGTCGTACATGAACTGAGAGAAGATGAAGAACTTCTTGCGCAGGAACTGGTAGGTGAAGTTGACGGTGGTGTTCATGATGCCCGTGCCGTGGGTGCGGATGGAGTTGGAGACGTGCCGGATGTTGATGGTGTTCAGGTGCTTGTTGTTGCTGGAACGCTCCACGAAGATCTGATTAGGGGAGAGAAAAAGGATATCACGTGAGGAGTTTTAGATTCTATAAGATATCAAACAAGCTTGAGTGGAACACAGAATAAGGTAGTATGTCTGTCCCATATGCCACGAACACATATGTGTCCTGTCACCACAAAATGAACTTAAAAGTGTGAAATTGCCATGTTGCAGTACAGTGGGGCAAAGCCAAAATTTGAAGGGGTGGTCTATTTTTTGTTTCCAGGCAAAGCTTGATCTGTAAGTTCACACATACTTGTTCCGTAGTTGTGGGGACATACAGTCGTCTCTCAGAGGTAAAAAATTGTTGAAAAATTCACTGCTTTAAACATTTAAAATGTTCCATTTTTTTCCAGACAAATGAGGGCACTGTCGCTGTGATGTCATTTCAGGAAGACACTGTTCAGTTTAGGGGTTTTCTGTTCAAATCGTGAACCCAACATTTGATTTGTGAGAAAGGTTTGCTCCTTGGCTTTTACTGCAATGTACTGACACAACAACGAATCATCAAAGAGAAGAAAATATACGACGGCAAAATGCCAACAATTCTAGCAACTTTTTGTGCAGAAATAGCTGTAACATTGAGGTGTCTGCCCAGAATGACATCACAGGTTTGCTCATGAATATGGAAATTTGCATTAACATAAAAACAAAAATGGCACCAAAATACCCTTGAGAATGACAAGAAGAAAATTGAAAGTGAAGTTCAATGGGACACAAAGGTGTGGCCTCGTGGTTAAGGGCACTGGATTCATGGTCTGTGGGTAAAGCTGCGGGTTGTGGGTTCGAGTCCAGCCCGGGGTCATGGTGCGTGTGCCCTTGGGCAAGGCACTTTGTCATTCATTGCTTCTCCCCACCCAGGAGTAAATGGGTACCTGTGAGGGCAGAGATGGTTATTGTGATTGAATTAGCTTGCTTGCGCCTAACAGGCAGCATCGAGCTGTATACTCCCCAGGGAGCTGAGATGGTATTTGGAATGTTTAATTGGCCCAATGATCAGGGGTAATAATAATGTAAAGCGCTTTGATCTTAGTTAAAAGTGCTATATAGGAACCTGTCAAATTTTCAAGGATTGCATTAAATAATTACATGGCATGGGCCCTTTCACTATGTTCTTACCTGATTGTTGACATTGTACAGATACTTGGACACAAAGATGTGAATGTTGCGCATTATCTCCAATACATCAAGGCCCTGCAGAACACAGACATTTTAGGATAAGTTCATTTAAATGAATAATAAAATACAATGCAGGTAACTTTATTTTTCATTTCAATTGACCGAGGTAAAGAAATACATGTAAACTCCAACTTCAATCTTCCACAGTTGATATCCATATTAAATCCATGTCTCAAAACCAAAATGCTGGACATTGCCGAACAAAATTAGAAGCCATTTTTGCGGTGGTGCCATGTTCGCATGCATGCCGCACGCATTCTTAACCAATTCGCGCTGGAGGCCGTGTATCACGCAAAATGTTGCGGTTTTCGGAATGGATGACAGATAAACATGCAGGGAGCGAGGCCGGAAATATCTGTCAGCGACCCGCTCGCAACGAGCGAAGCCGGAAATATGAGCGTGCTGCCCGAGGGTGATGGCTTCAACCCGCCTGGCTTGAGGTCGAGTGAAAAGTAATCCTGCGCCTTGTTCCGTTCTTGTCAAAATAATCCCGGCCTGAAATGGTTAAAGACGAGGCGTGCAGGTATTTGGTGTGAGCCTGGTGCTGCCTCAGAAAATGGCCGTCGCCGAATTAGCCTTTAAATAAAACAATTGGAAAGATATAAGATTTGACCCCAAAAAATTGTAATCAAACTTTGACTTTTTACATGTTTTAAGATGTGACCGACCTGTTCCAGGGTCTGTGTGGGTAGGTGAGCCTCTGTCATGGTCAGGCCGTACTTCTGGGAGGCTAGGTTACGCATCTCGGCGTAGGTCTTCCAGTCATGCAAGGCAACTGTCGTCAAGTTATAGAAGGTCTTGTCCAGGTAGTGGGTGACGGCAGCTGTGAAATTTGAATTTAAAAAGAAAAAAATATGCAATTATTGTCCTTGAGCAGGGCACTTTTCTGCAACAACTACTTTGTTCAATGGAGAACAAATGGGTCTCGAAAAGGCGGTGATTGTTGTTAGCATTGCTTGCCAAAAGTTGTTTGCCATGGGGATAGTGAGCTCTGCTGAGCTCAAAATTGCACCCTTTATTACTTAACCGGATAAATAAGATACATCTACAACTGAAGCATTATTGTCCCGTCAACAGCACAACACATACATGTAGTACTAGTACTGTCATACAGAGTACCATCAATTGTACTGTCTGAGAGGTCCTCTTTTGGCATTGTATCATGAGAATAAGTTAAAAACCGGTTAAGACATTCCAAAACGGTGTTCCTCCTGCACCCTGCTGTGTTTAAGCATGAGTTGCAAGTTGAAAGTTTTCTATTTAACCATGTTTATCTATGTAGAAAGCTTCAAAGCCACGTGTGCTTAGGCGCGCAATGAAGAACAGATGAAACTGCTCCAAAATATATGCAACAAATGTGAAATGGTCTACTGCCTCACTTTTTTTTTCACCAGCTTATCATTTCCAGCGCGTTCGATTACTTATGTCGCGCTTAAAACCAGTACTTTCGTCTTGGGTATAGATGCACATGCGCAATCTGTAGCGATAAACGAACGATCTCGGGTTACTGGAGGTTGAGTCATAGCAACTGGACCGGGTCAAGAGGTCATGTGGCGATTAAATCCCCTTTGCAAATGGATTTGAGCTGTCAGCGAGCCATGGTAGCCACTGCTCCTCCAAAGTGATCAAGAAATGCCCAGTATATTAAAAATTAGTCTAGTACTAGTATGAAGTGAAGCTGAGCCACTTTTGAATCCCCTGCCACTGCAGCTTTAGACTTAGCTGCCTTGTTTTCAAATTGTATTGTGGGATACTAAGGCCAAAAAAAAAAGTCTCCGGTTTCTGGTATGGAGCTTGCCCCTAAAGTGGTGCGGCGACGCAGCTTCTTTTTTTTTATCGATTTTTTTTCTTCAAATGTCGGCTGATGACTGCAAATGGTGCCCGACTAAATATAGCGCAAATATATGGGAGCCCAGAGAGGCCACATAAAGCTTATACTCGATCATAACCCCATCTAAAAACACGTTGAAATTGTGCAGCAGCAGGATTCCAGTCAATCAGTGAGTTTGGCGGTTTTGAGACATCATGTAACATTGAAAAAGAAACTTTTTCATTTTGCCGACGCGCATGGCTACGGCAACGCGCGCATACCAGAAACTGGAGACTTTTTTTGTTGGCCGAACCCAAGTAACCGGCCCAGCGGCCAGGCTGGAGTTATCATGAGAAGCCACGTGAGAGTTAATTCAAACACAGTCGCGCTTGCACGAGTAAGCGCGAGGGAAGTAATCAAACGCGCTCCACATAAACATTAAGAGAACTGACTACGTTTTAATTTAAATATATTAAAAGTTGAACAAAGAAACTTATTGAAAGGGGTTTGAACCTCCGGTCTCCACAATACTGTCGTTAGCTTCCCCGACTGAGCTATCTCGACCTTTAATTCGCACTCTCTCTTTACCTTTGATGTCCAGGAAGTTGTTGAAGAAGCGTATGGGTCTCATCTTGATGAAGTGGGACATGTCCTGCAGGGGGACGCGGAAGGGATTGCGACTGTCTAGCTGCAGGTGGTTGTGGATGGAAAGACGGAGGTCTGTCTCCACGGAACGGCACAGAGGATCCAACAGGTGCTGCCACAAGTGAAAAACAGATTAGTACGGAAAAGAGATTAGTGCAGAAAATAGATTAGTACGGAAAAGAGATTAGTACAAAAAACAGATTAGAACAGAAAACAGATTAGTACAAAAAACAGATTAGTACAGAAAACAGATTAGTATGGAAAACAGATTAGTACGGAAAACAGATAAGTACGGAAAACAAATTAGTACGGAAAATAGATTAGTACAGAAAAGAGATTAGTACAGAAAACAGATTAGTACAGAAAACAGATTAGTACAGAAAACAGATTAGTACAGAAAACAGATTAGTACGGAAAACAGATTAGTACAGAAAACAGATTAGTACGGAAAACAGATTAGTACGGTAAACAGATTAGTACAGAAAGCAGATTAGTACAGAAAGCAGATTAGTACAGAAAACAGATTAGTACAGAAAACAGATTAATACAGAAAACAGATTAGTACGGAAAACACATTAGTACAGAAAACAGATTAATACGGAAAATATTCTGCGTGGGCCTAGCGACTGCAGTTTTTCTTTGTGTTAGGATATTGAGGTTTGCAAGGTCATCATCATCATCTTCATTAACTGTGATGAGACCTCATCCTTAGTTGAAGTACATAAAGCAAGTCAGCATTTGCACCAAGTTACAAAAAGAACTCTCTTTTTTGAGTCTGTGTGATTCTTTAGAAAAAAAAAATCTGTGCGAAAATCAATGTTTCTGGCAGTAACTTCTGCCTTATGATGGGCAGAGCATACTGTCCGACAAGCAGAATTTCCCATTGGTTCTTTTTGTACTGCGGGTGGATCAGCTTAACGTTGATCCACTGGAGACCACAAGTCTAAGTTGGATTTGAGTCAAGACCATTGGTCCTAATTTGCCTGTGCATCTCTATATAGTGCATTATAAATACAAACTGTGGAGACGCAAATGACATCCAAGAACTGAGGTGTAAACAAGGATGGTGTCATCAATGTAGTTGAGTCCATCATAAGCCCTCCAGTCTTAAGTCAAGTCTCAAGCTGTTATCAAATGAACTTAGAAGTATTACTTTGTTACAGAGTATCCCCTGTTACTTGTGACTGAACTTGTGAAATGACTTGTGATCTACATTTGACTGACTTAATTATGATGGGCTTGTGATGGACTCGACTTAAACAGTGGGTGGTGTTCAGCAATATTCTGCCCCGTACCTCTCTAAACTGAGTGTTGATTTCTTTGTCAAAGGAGTCCAGTAGCAGCTGTGGAGACTCGAGGTGCTTGGACTGGATGATCGGGGGTACACAGTCTGCTAGCGCACCGAACATGTACTGGGAAAAAAGTCAATCAAGTAAACATTTTGAAGGAAGGGTAGATCATTTGTCATTTGTGAATTTGTTTTGTTTGAAGCAACAAAATTGCTCAAAATCTTAACACTAGTGCTTAACATCTAACCTGATGAAGTTTTAGCTCTGTGAATGCTGTGTATTCCGACAAAACAATATTTAGCTACACGATGTCACGCAATGAACCAACGAATAATAGCAACCGCGCGCGTGTGTGCATTGTGTCAATTCGTGGATTCTTTTGCTTAACAGGAATTTTCTACACTTACTGTGCCTTGAGGCACTGCAACATTGACCTTATGGCCCAATTTCATAAAGCAGACAATTTTGCTTCACTCGTTTTTCTTGCGAAGCACAAAAAAAAACTAGAATAACTCACATTCAATGAACAGTATCACATGTTATGGAATTTTTCACAAAGCTACCACAATTATTCCAGCATTAACTGAGATGACTGTGAGTGTTGCAGCTCAGATTGTTTACAGGTCTGCTGATACAAATAATACATTCTTACGTGAAGTCTGTGGGCATCTACGGCATTCTCAAATCGATCGGCCAGATAGAGAGGGAAGACAACCCGATGCCAATACAGGAAGCTACAGTCACAGGCCTCTCGCAACCTAGACACACACACACATGAAGAGATCAAAATATTATAATTTCTTTTTGAAATTGAAAGGTAAAGTACATCATTTGTAATTTGTGCGTCATGTTCGTTTGAAGCAACAAAAGTGTTCAAAATCTAAAGAAAGGTGCTGAACAACTAACCTGATGAACTTTAAGCTCAGTGAATGCTGTATATTCTGAGAAAAACACTATTCTACTGGTAGGATCTCAAATCAAAAGTTGCTGAGTCATGTTTTGAACTGCGCCTGAATTCAGCGTCCAGACCACATTCTCACTCAGCTGATTGCAGCTACGCGATGTCGCGCACTTAACCGACAAATTACAGCAACCACGCCCGCACGCATCGTGTCAACCCTTGCGCACGCTTCCCCAAATTAAAAACAAACTACTAACGGAAATTTCCAACGATGCGCCTAAAGACACATCATTGGAAATGGCCTTCTTTCCTTGTTTTCTTCACAATGACGGCTTACCAGAAATAACAATTTCACATGGAGTTTAGTCCCATTACTATCTTTAAACCAAGTATGCTTTTCAACAATAATTTTGTCAAGTTACTTTTTGGACAGCTGCAATTGATAGACTATAGCTTTAACTCTTTACCACCTATAATTACATTGTATTACATTGTATACAGAGTTGGACAACAAGAGTTGAGAGTAATTATTTCACTATCCCTGCAATAAAAGCATGGGGGAAACTCCTATTGAATTGTACTGTTTATAGACAAACTGAACTGCCACCGCCACTTCGTTTCCTGAAGTTGTTGTGGGTTTCATATCAGAGACAATGCTGCAATCAATATACCAGTAAGTGTAGGCCAGTGGCATTAAGCTTAGTAGGGCTGTCAAATTGGCTAATTGAGAATCAGTGAATCAAAAAAGATGTTACCATGGCCACCAAAACGTCTGCTTTTACAACTGTCGCTCAGCTGCTTGGAGTATTGCAAGCCAGACTACCATTTTCAAAGAAAACTTTGTCTCGGGTAGAAACTGTTAAAGACTCGTTTTGAAAAATATTAAAATAGCGTTTGAAAGCGAGTATGCATGCAATTATTTACACTGATGTTTAAAATATCTACAGGCAGCTTCAAAAAGAAAGAGACTGTGATTTATGGTGTTTTCCCCCTTAAAAAGCAGTTGAACTTGATACACCAATGAGGCACGTAGATCTATATGTTCTTCCAATCTTCTCAAGAAGAATACAAAATAATTAATTAAATTGGTCCTGGCTATCAGAATTTAAGCATGTTTTCGCTAAAAGAACCCATTTTCACAGCTGTTTATGGGATGCTAGATGCTTTGAAGCTGTTCAGCTGAGTGAGAACCATAGATTAAACACAGGCATCCTAATTCGAACGACATTTAATTTGAACCAAGTCTTAAACGCTATTTTACCATCGGATTTTGTGTTTTGTATAAGAGGAATAAATCAAAGCTTTTTTTCTGAAATGAGAATGATGATTTTTGTCTGTTTTCCTTCGTAACTAATCATTTATTGTATTTAAAGGGTATTCATCAATGTGTAACGGTAAACGATTAGTGGTGGACAGCCAAGTTTTGTGGTACATGTATTTCTCTTAAAGTAGAAATAACTTGTGAACAGAGTATGCAGATTATGTGACATTTTCAGTTACTAGTCAATAACATGTACTTTATTCCTATATAACTGTTTAAGTCAATGAAGAGAGCCACATATCTTTTAAACACTTCTTTTCTAACTTGGTCACTGTTTTTTTATCTGTACATGTAAATATACCTTGATTATGTACAATGTAGGTATTGCACCCGAATTCATAAATGAGTGCTGTAAAAAAAAGCATTTAAAGGTGGCTTCCTTTTTAAAGGAATAGCACAGTCAGGCCTAGGTATTCTGTACTGTTATCACTAACACGTACTCTCTACCAGCACTGACAAAGCACCAATCAATAATTGTAATTAATAGAGGTAAGTGCGTTTTGCCAAGCAATACTTTTTTATGAAAAAAACTTTTACACAATACTTGAGGTCTGCTTCTTGAAACACGATACCAAAGAAATTTATGATGTTACCATTTCCCTGGTAACCGTTTACGGAAATACTGCAGTCTGACTTGAATGTTGGAGGCCATTCAGAATTCGAAAGACTATCTGGACTAGGACAGATTGGTGATTTTTAAGAGAGCACTTTTCAATCTTTGCTGCTGCTTTGACGGTGGTTTGTCATGGACTCAAATAAGATATCTATGAATTACTGAGATGGCGTTTCCGAAAAAGGTCGTTCTGTATCCAGTCTTGCTGTTGCTGATTTTGAAGGGAATCAAAGCAGACCGATCCTGTACCGCAAAGGCCAAGGCATCAACCGCATCATGTGAACCGCCATGGCTGCGTCGTGGCAACCACTGCTATCTCTACGTCAAGACAAGGTTGTCATTCACCAACGCCGAGGCCCACTGCCAGACTTTCTCCAAACCTGGCAGACCTGCTCACTTGGCGTCCGTTACCAGTGACCATGAGAATGCATTCTTGCTGAATTACGCAACAACCGCCAGATTTCAGCAATTCTGGATTGGGCTGATTGACCAGAATCGCAACAGGCAGTTTGTGTGGACGGATGGCAGTAACAGCGGTTATCGGAAATGGCGTCCATATGAACCAAGTCCCCTCTATCAGGGAGAATTCTGCGTTCTTGTCACACCGGACTGGGGTAGATGGAACGATGTTTACTGTGGACATAACTGGTATTTCATGTGTAAAATTGAGATTTGAAGTTCATGCCACTTTGTGGGGTATTCCTGGCTGGAATAAAACAATCAAATCTTCAACAACAAAAACCTTTTCAGTTGAGGCTTTGTAGAAAAAAATCATCATCGAGGAACAGGAAAATTCATCAGAGTGATATACTTAGTGAGTTTTAATAATACAAAGAATGCAACATTATAACTGCACCGAGATGAATGTGGCACTACTGCACCAGTCAAACATTTCAATGAATAAGAATGTGAGGGAAAATACTTATTTCGGTAATTTTAATGTAGAAGAATGTGAAATAATAACTGTATTAAGTCACAGTTTTTTTAATTTGGTGCGATTTCGTCAGGGCAATTCTGTAAATGAACATACCGGAACAACCACATGATGTGCATGTACATGTCATGTATGTACCGGTACATGTCCACGGTCGTTAAGGTGGTGGTACCTTAGTTTGGTCTGTAATTGTTTTCTGATCATTAGATGTCACATTATTATTGATGTATCACATTTACCATCCCAATAGCAGATCATTAAAGTGTCTGACATGTACGTCCGAATTTACAGAATTGCCCATAACTAATAATGCAGCCATCGATATGTTTGAGGCCAGTGTGGTGGAACTAGTAGGGCAGTCAAATTGGCTCCTCGAGAATCGGTGAATCAAAAAAGATGTTGCCATGGCCACCAAAATGTCTGCTTTCACAAATGCCGCTACGGGTGTTTCAGACTTGTTGGAGCCTGACTGCACCTTTTGTTTGGGAATTTCTGTCTGAGACAGAAAGTGTCTAGCACTGCATGCTATTATTTACACTGATGATCAAATATCGACATGTAGCTTGACTTGCACATTTCGGGACTGCATACTGGTACAACTTTACTATATGAGTGCCGCTTGAAAAAATAAATATAAAACCCTCGCCATGCCTACCTTTCCACTGCCAGGTAGTCTTTTGTTATCACTGGCAGGCAATTTTCTACCAGTGATTTTACTGACAATGCACCAATTTAATGAAAAACCAGGGTTTAACAATACTGGAGGTCTGTTTGTGCAACAAGGATCCAACAATCAAAGACATTTACGCAGTTACCGTTTCCATGGTCACTATTCCTTGAATAACAACAGTCTGACTTGACTGCTAAGAAGCAATGTGGAATTACATGTAGCAAGACAACGAGAACAGTCAGAAGTCAGCACTTTTCCATCTTTGACAAGGGATTGTTGGAGACTCAAATTGAAGAAAACGGTAAATTATACAATTACACATCCGGCTGCAGTATGGCTTTTCTGAAACAGGACGTACTGTATCCAGTTCTGCTGTTGCTAATTTTTAAGGAAATCAAAGCAGATGGACCCTGTATTGCAAAGGCCAAGGCATCATGTGAACCGCCATGGCTGCATCACGGCAACCACTGCTATCTCTTCGTCAAGACAAGGTTGTCATTCCCCGACGCCGAGGCCCACTGCCAGACTTTCTCCAAACCTGGCAGACCTGCTCACTTGGCATCAGTGACCAGTTATGATGAGAATGTGTTCTTGCAGAGTTACGCAACGGCAGCTGGATCTCCCCAGGGCTACATTATCGGGCTGATTGACCAGAATCGTAACAGGCAGTTCGTGTGGACGGATGGCAGTACCAGCGGCTATCGCAACTGGAATCCATTTGAGCCGAGTGCCCTTGCTCAGGAAGAATATTGTGTTCAGGTTTTTCTGGACCGAGGTACGTGGAATGATGCCAGCTGTTGGTATCCACTTTTTTTCATGTGTAAAATTCAGATTTGAATTTCTTTTCCCTTTACAGGGAAATGCAATATACATTACCAATGCCAAAATATTCAACAAACATTCAAGACACTCGCATCCTTGCGGAAAAATATTGAACCATTGAGGAACATTAACCCTAACAGAACTCAACCCATCAAACCCCAACAGCCAATCACACGTTACATTTTCGTAACGTGAGTAACCGATTTTGTGCGTCTTGTTTATCATACATAACACATTTTTCTGGATGTCATCTTTGGTGCTTAGGTACATGTAGGTCTAGGTCTACTCTATCTACCATGGGGATAACAGTTATTAAACATTTCCAGTAAGGCAATTACAGCCCAAGGAAACTCAAAAGAACATTGAAAATGTAACGTGAGTAACCGTGGATTGCCCAAAAAATGATGTCTGCACTGAGTTATTTCAATGTTTCACAAATTGAAATAATAACTGCACTGCTTCTTGTAATCCTTTGGTGCACAGAGTGCTAACTAGCAACCGCCCAATATGTAAATTGTCACTGCAAAATGAGCTTAAAGTTGGAAATTGCCATTTTGGCGTACAGTGGGGAAAAGCCCAAATTTGAAGGAGCGGTTAATTTTTGGTTTCAGGTGAACCTTAATCTGTAAGTCCTGTTTGACCTTTCTCCAACCTTTTTGTTCTGTCAAACATCTGTGAAACCTTTTTCATCCTGTTTTATTAGTTGACTGTTCATTCACTGTATCACAATTGGAGGATTTTTCAATTTTTCCAGAACCAGCTTTTACAACTTCAAGTTCATTTGCATGTAAGGTTGGTGGTCTATATTTCCATTACTGAACTCAAAACCCCTAACATTATATACCATTGGAGAGCTCTTATTCTGCTGTATCCACAATGACTTCACTAAAATTTCATTTGTGATGACGGGTCACATATACATGTACCTATGCGCAGCTAACACAAATAATATGTGCTCCAAAGGGCTAAAGTAGAAGAGAGTGAAACAACTGCACGTAGTCATTGTAACTAAATGTGAAATTGTAACGGCAATGAGTCATTTTAAAGTAGATGAATGGGACATTAATACTGTACTGAGACATGTTAATGTGAAAATGTGAAAAATAACTACACTGCGGGAGGTTTATATGTAATCAAATGTGAAATTATATCTGTACTGTGTATATGTAAAAGAATGTGAACATAATACTACACTGTCAAATTTTATGCCGAAGAATGTGAACAAATTAACTGTATTGAGTCATTTAAAGAAATTGTGAAATACCATTTGGAAAGAGTTATTTTTATGTAGATAATTGTGAAATTGTAATTGCAGTAAAACATTTGTAATGTGCGCGTATAATTGTGAACAAAATAACTGCACTCAGTCACTTTAATGCACAAGAATATGAAATTTTAACTGTATGGAGGCATTCAAAGAAAATGTGAAACATGACAGTCGTTTTAATGTAGAGGATTGTGACATTGTATTTGCATTGAGTCACTATTAATGTACAAAAATGTGGACTAATGACCTTAAAGATACATTCCTCATGTTACTTTCGAGTTTCACCTCGAAAAATTGATTTGTTTTTTGACTGCTATTTTCCTTGAAACATAAAAGATATTCGCTTATTAATGAGACGTTGATTGAAAAAATCCACAAACATTTTTGTTATTCAAATATTTCTTCAAAAAAAAAATTGAATTACTGACTGCTAAATATAGTACCGGTAGCTTTTCTATTTAAAACAAAACATACAAATTGAAAATTTGTTTAAAAAAAAAATCTGAGTATGATCTTTAACCCTTACTCTCTGAGGGTAGTTTACTGCATGTCAGTTGGTTATGCCAATGCCCTCCAGCTGCAGTATATTGGCAGATAAACTATCTTGACAGTGAAGGCTCCAATTGGCAGGAGTTGGAGGCCCTGGAGGGTGCCTGATACTGACCAGCTGGGGGCACTCACTTTGTTATCAGAGGACTCTCATTGTTCTCTGTGGCATGTATTGGAGTGCCTGTCCAGTTACCCTTGAAATGACATGGCAGATATTGGAGGGCCATGCAAAAAACATAGGAGATTTTCTTGAGGCACATATTGGCATGCGTTGGAGGGTCAAGTAGGGTAAGGGTTAATGTAGAAGAATGTAAAATAATAACTGCACTGATGTCATTTTAGTTTGGTGGAATGTGACATACATGTACATGTACATGTACATGTACAACACTAATTGCCTGTACTTTTAATGTATTGTATAAAATGTGAAATAATGAACATTCAAAGTTATTTTAATGTAGAATAATTTGCAATAATAGCTGCACCGAGTCATTCAATGTAAAAGAATGTGACATAAGAACTGCACTTAGTCAAGTTTGCAAATGCATGTTGAAGAACATCAATAATAAACTAAATTGTGCCATTTTTGTGCTGAGGAATTGAAAATAACTGCACTGAAACATTTGATGTAAAGAAAAATTGCATTTAGTCAGTTTTACTTTGAAGAATATGAAATAATTATATTGTGTCATTTCAATGAAGCTTTTGGAATAACTGCACTGAGTCACTGAAATGTAGAAAAATGTGAAACCTGTCTGCACTGAGCCAACTTCTTGTGAAATAAATAATAGATAGTCGTTTTAATGAATGAAGAATATGAAATAATATCTTCTCGGACTCTATTTTTTTATTGTAGGATGTGGAATGCTACCCCAAATATTGGCAATGGAGATCTGTTCCAATAGACCATGTGCCTTTAGTTTGCAAATTGGACGTTGTGGTCCCGTGTTGTTAACTTTCAACAATCTGTCCTCTTCTGCACTACATGAATATCTCTTGAAATGTGATGGAGTAATTGCAGAATACCCCGCCACTCCGAAATACACCCCTAAATTCTCTGGCTACGAGGTTGGAATCCCTGGAAAAGAAACAATTCAAGTCCATGCCAGCTACGCGGATACTGAGTGGGGGTTCATTATTTGAGAAGGAAGCAACACAAAAGGAATAGGAGTTGCTGAAAAAATTCTAAGTCCAAACCAACTACCCTGTTGGCAGCTACGCGGTTACGAAGTGGGAGTGCAATGGAGCATGACGCATAGTACATACAAGTAGCGCTGAGAATGTTTATTGAGGTCAACCAACCGTGACCGCGTAGCCGGCTACGAGGTGGATAGATCGAGTGGCGGGGTATTCTGCAATTGTGCCAATGTGATTGGTATAAAAGTTGTGACATAAACTAGGGAATGCAAGGAAAAGTAAAAATTGAGCCAAATAATGAAAGAAAAAAAATTGAAGTCTGACTGCTCTCAAGATAATGACGCTGATTGACCAACTGTATTCTGTAGAAAACAGCATCTCCACTGGAGGACAAACACAAATGTTTCCTGGGAAATGTAGTGACTGAAAAATGATGGAAATAATCTTAAATGTGCACACTGACGGAGAAGTCACTCTAAAAAATGTAGCGATGTAGTTTGCACTTCTGTCAAAATAAAAATAGACAACCCGTCTGAGCTGTTCTGAATTTAGCCATTTGGATAAGATATCATTCTGCCTTCATAGACAGAATTTAAACCCTCTACTATTCTTCATTGGCATATGCTGGGGTCACACATTCCCGACTTATTGCCACGAATACCCCGATCTATCCCGAATAAAAAATCTTGATGGCATCAGGAGAAATTAGCCCCGATTCGCTGTTTGTAAGAATAACTTCAGAATGAAACAGAAATAATCAAGAACTAGGTACGAATTGGAAGCCGAATCAGACTGAACCAAGCCGAATGATTGCGATTTAGTGCAGAATAAAACTGAATTGTAGCGATTTTGTCAAGAATGACTTACGAATAACTCAAGTATCATGCACAATGACCCAGAATTATGCCGCTTTAGTGTACTTGTAAGTTATTTTTATAATATTCGTACATTTCTTGATACATTCGTAACGAATCAGCATGATTCTCTGATAACTCTACGAATCTTGTAAGAATGCTGTAAGAATACCCAGAATGCTGTAAGAATATCCAGAATTACATGAACATGTAATTATGAATACAACAAGAATAAACCAAGAATTGAAATTGGTTTCCAAATAACCCCGACAATTTTGAACATGTCCAAAATTGTCGGGGCACTTCCCGATCTTTAAGGATCTTCCACCGAACTTTATACAGAATCATCCCGAGGCAGCCAGGAACCATTCCCCGGTTTACTCAAGAATTGCTATTCACGGCGGTTCGGCTTAAAAATTGGGAATGTGTAAACCTAGCATTAGCGCACACAAGGAGTACAGATTGAGATTGTATTTCTGCCATGAAGATGGTGAAAGGAGACAGACTTACTTTTCCCTGAGGTCGCTGATGAGGAAGAGTTTGTTCATGGTGGTACGGTACGAGGCCAGCTCATCCTCCTTGAAGGCTTTCTGCAAACATCAACAAAATTCTAAGATTGCAAATGTACATCCAGAACCGTGAAATTTGAACCAATGGCTCTATAACGATTGCTCTTTTATTAACCCTAACCTTCCAAAATCCTCTTTGCAAAATGGAGGATTTTGCAGGATTTTGCAGGATTGAGACTTCATGGCAAAAATGTGTGGCTGATTTTGGAGGATGCAATGTGTCAAGGTCTTGGGCCGGACCTTGTGTTGTTTACGCTCAGCCGTACATAAATTTAGACCTAGGTTATACTTGAAATCCTCTGCACTGCTCCGGGATGTCACTGGCTCTGTCTCAACATACCTCAAAGAGTTTTATACCATATACAAATGATGAAAATATGAACTTTTCAACTTGGAGATGAGAATAAATACAGCCAGAGCCATTTCACATACCATCTGAGTGCCAACATGCAGCGCAAGGTTTGCGATCAGTCTTCTCTCCTTTGTGGCTGGGCATTAGAAAATAAACAAGAATTGAAACACACTTGAAATGAAAAAATAAAAAATCTGAAACATTTTTTATTGAGGATACAATGTTCACAGAACTAGGTGATTATAAAAAAATTCGTAGAAAAGTTCCTCACCTGTGCCACTGAGTGCGTTCTCCACCAGAACAAGAGCAGACAAGGCATCCTGAATGAAAGTCAAAATAAGAATCAATGACTTGATGAATACTTCTCAATTTCGATGAGGAACCACTCGAAAAAAATAATCTTAATTGCCTGGAGAGCCATACTCTATGAACAAACAAACAGATGATGCTGTGGGACACACTGCAAGCGTGTACTGATTCACGCACACACTCTTGTTTCACTATACTCCCGAGGACAATGATTTGTGTTTGCCTTTGTCCCTGTAATATAACACTCTCCCACAGACTAAGCACACGAACCTACTACAGAGGACCGTAGCCAACAAAAGACCCTGAAAGGATCTGTTGTTTTCCCTTTGTGTGTCTGTCCTCGGGGGTTATGTCGAACACGTACATATAAACATGTATGGCCCAAAAGAGTGCACAACCAATTTTCATCCCAAAGTGAACAAGCCCGACGGGTTTTAACAAGAGTGCCTGGAAAACAACTGCAATGGTGTTCAGGGGTCTTCCTAACTGTCTCCGTCTTCACTTAGGAGGGGGAGAGGTAACTGTGCATCATAAGACATGACTACGATATATGTAAGGTCAGCACCTGATTTCACGAAGTGCTGCGACGCGTTGCATCCCGAGTTACGACGTGTAACACGTTGCAACTCGTGACGCGTCGTGCGATCCATATCACGAAACTTGCGATGTGTTGAACACTTCGTAAGTTCCTTGACAACGGCTTAAAACATGTCGCAAGTTACAACGTGTCTTACATTATCGCAAAATAAGAAGTGTCCTTTTCTTAGCTAGTTTTATGCCATAAATATTACATGAATGCGACTATAATACCGAGACATTGTGTGTAAAGTTGTAAATGGCAAATGCATTGAAGTAATATTATCCTAGAATATTGCAGTTGAAATTTCACAGTACCTACACAGTCCACCGCGGGCTTGTTTTCCTTTAAAACTGCATCGCACGTCCGCCATTTTGTTTTACATTTTAAAAACTTTTTGAAAGGAGATCCAAAGACTTTTTGTTGAATATCAGACGACTATTTACTGTACGCTGAATAAAATACGAACAATCACCGTGTTGTGCTACAAATACACATACGATGCGTCGTAAGTTGCGAAATGAATCGCAGGACGCGACGCATCGTAGGGATACGACGCGTCGCGCAGTGCTGCGATGCATCGTAAGTTACGATGAGTTTCATGAAATTTGGTGCAGGCCCTAGTTTCCACTGACTCGAGTCAGATTGACTCCCAGCCAAAGATTCTATTTTCTGAGTCATACATTGGTCTCTACTCACCAATCTCTTCTCGCTGTATTTCTTGTCGGAGATGATACGCTTCTGCAACAACAAAACAAGAAAAACTGTAACAATAGCACAATTACACTTGCTGCAGTACATACATGTAATATGTGGTTGAATTCCCATTAAAAACATACATGTACCGGTATCCTCCTATGTTTTCGCTTAAAGGCCAGTTCATACTCAGTGCGAAAGCAAACCAGAATGCTGATTTGTGACATTCCGAAAAGTTGAACACATTTCAGCTCGGGCAAATTTCACAGCCAATGTTTCCCGACCTCAAATGGGCTTCTCATGAAGTAGGAAACTGCCTCAACTCTCTGCATAAGGGGAGCCAAAATATTGGCCTAAAATTGCACCCTATTGAAATTGCAAGTTGAAACATCCAAGGCAATCAATTCTACACTCAAAGAATGAACCATTACGTCATGGCCAATTTTTATGGGCTATTTTCTTGAATCCTTTTAATCCATCGCTTTATTGCAAGAAAACCCAACTGCACATACTTTAAATTGTAACTGTCAAAGGGCATCAATTTACCATCTAAAGTAATAGTGGCTTGGCAATATTTTCCCCAATCCTGAAAATATGGCAGTTCAGTATTTCAACTGCGCACGCGCACAGTGACATGGGGTCACGGGTCATTCAGGACAATCGCAAGCTCATCGAAGGCGCAGTAACGTGCAATGAGATGGTCGTACAAGCTCGCGTGTCAATTATGAGCAGAATGGGCATTCGCGTAACATCGCGTAACATCACGTAGCATCGCGTCATCGCTATTACAGAACTGGCTTATTCGTCAACTGAACAAAAAGCTCCTGCTGAATGTTGATGCATATGGGAGGGTTAAAGCTTATAACAGAAATGGACATAAGATCTGAGGTATCATTTTAAACTCCAGTTATAATGATATTTGGAAAATGAACAAAACTGCTGCAAACTACTTACAACTGGATCTTATTTTTTTAATATCGAATTGGATTTTAAATTGAAATACACAAATTATGAAAAGAAGAGGGGCAGCCGGCTGTTTTGGTCCTAGAAATAAAAGACCTTCTACCTAAAACTGAAATTCATTCAATTATTAATTGAACACATACCTTTGCTCCATTGACCAGCGCCAATGCCGAAAACTGCAGATACTGGATGATGTGAGTGATAGACTCTGCTACCAGCATGGTCCTCCGATGGAAGGTGTGCTCAATAGACTGCAACACAGAACGAGACAGGGTGTCATACTTTAGTTTTTTAACAACACAATGAAAAAAGTTGAAAGAGGAGAAAGAGGAGTTTCCAGATTTTATTTGATTACAAAAAAAAAAATTATACATTTATTTATCTGTTTTCAAATAACACATCTGTGATGAGTTTTCTCAAACTAAGCCCTTTTCTTGGCAACGGGTCGAAAGTAACTTTATTTAAATATTGTTAAATTATAGACCTTCCCCATTAGAATAAATAGTTAGTTTAGAAAATGGACCTTCCTTTGCAAAAAAAAGTTGATTTTAAGTTCATGATGCCACAAAGATGAAAATTGAGAATTTGCCTGTTTAAGTGTTTAAGTTTTGAATGCATTCCTTAAAATGAAACACCTGTAGAGTGACATTTACGATAAAAATGTACAGGCAAAATTGTTAAAGTGTATTTTACACATTTTTAGGATCACAAGTTTTAAAAAAAATGAAATAGAACACTTACACCGTTATAAATTTCGGGGTCATATTTGTTTTGCATAATATAGTTTTGTGGAGCAAATTATTTTTTTTTTCAAAACAACTTTGTGATACATGATTCATTTAGGTACATTGAACAATTTGCTTTTTGTGCATTTTTTTTTCATTTGAAGCAACAGAATTTCTCAAAATCTTACATAGGGAGTATAATAACAACTGACCCGTCGAACTTTTAGTTTGTTCAGTACGTAGTTACTATACATTTTGAGAAGACAGAGAAATGCATGCACATGTTTTTGGGTACACTTCTTTAATGACACCGTTAATGATTGTTTTCTTCCGAACAACGCCATTTTAGGGAAACAATTCCACAGGGTATTTAGTACCAGTCCTTTCTTCACTTGAAGCAAGAATTTCCTTTGAAATTGGTAGGTCCGTTTCCGGGTTATTATCAATGTTCCGGCGTGCCGTTAATCTTACAAATGAGAGGATTTCTAAAGCACGAGACTTTACCTTGAGCATTTCAATGAGACGACAGAGGGCCAGGACAGCCGTTTTGGTCATGGGCTTGTTCATGTGGGCATGCAGGTTCATGACGGTACGCACCAGGTTACTGATATTGTAGGCAAACAGAAGACCCTGCAAGACGAGAAAAATGAGTAAACCATTCTCAGGAACATCGCATTGAATATCTGGTATAACTTGCCGACAAGTTCTTCCACAATATGAAGAGTTTATTTTCAAAACACGACAGATCCAATTGAAAAAAGTGAAAAATTTGCATAATTATGAAACTTTTAAAAAAACTTTAAATGTTTGACATTAATTTTTATAGGGCCATTCTTTGGTCACCGTGTGAAATAAAACAGGGCTCGTCTGATTTTTGAATCTTTACCCCTTGTTTACTACATGTACATCTGATTCATCAGGTTAGTACTTTTTACTTCCTACCTCAAAGTATCGCTACTACTTTCACAAGTTGTGTTGAAATATTAGGAGGGGTCATCAAAGTTTGGTTACGTGTGTGACATCAGACGAAAAAATGTTAAATCCAAAACAGAACCACACACACTCACAACACTGATGGTGCTACCACTAACTTCTTCTTCCACAAGAAATGCAACAGCTAAGGGAATAAATATATGTGCTTGACCAGTTCAAACAAGTACACTTAAAACCAGCTAGGGCCCTGGTTGCCAATAATGGCCCCAACCCAAGACGAGGGCCATTATCAGCAAGCAGGCCCCTAAACCAGTTTTAAATGTGCTTGTTTAAAACTGGCCAAGCACATATTTATTCCCAACAGTTTACTAATTCACGTTTTGCAAATCACCCTCCTGGTCATGCTTATGGTATGTGCCTCAAGCGTAGTGCTAAAAATCTCCTTATATGGAAATCGGCGTGCGCGCCTTGCGTACTATGCTATGTGGTGCGGAGCATAGGAACTGTGTTTAAAGCATAGAGCTATATTAAATTATTAGAGCGCTAACTCTTCATTCTGCGCGCCGAGACGCTTTGAAGCCATCCTGGGCGCAGACATTTTGAATTCATGTGCGTGTCTGTAGAACATAATGAAATTTGATGGATTGAATTTTGAAAGTGTACTCTACATGCAATGCGCAAGTAGAACATACGCAAATAACTTAAGCGAGTCATTGACGGTTCAAAAAAATGAGACGGCAAAAAGCATCTGCAGTGAATACGTGCACGCGTTGCACTGTTTGCGTAGAGCAAAATGACACGCTCATTTGCTGATCGTGCGTTTCGGTTTTGGGAGTATTGGCTTCGATAACGCACCGGTATGGAATACAAACGCAGATATGCAAATAGCCGTACAAAAGCCGTACAAAATTTCTAGGTCTCCATAGGTTTGTACACAAACATGGATGCGCCCAGCAGGAATTACTTTGTACACGAAGTTAGCGCTCTAGTAATTTAATATAGCTCTATGGTTTAAAGCCACCCACGTGACAGGCTCTTGACCAATGGAAATAGGTAAACTGTCTCAGGTATTTATGAATGAGATTTAAACATACTTAACTGGATTAAGTATGTTAAATAAGTTAAATTGCAAGTGAAATAATGTCAAATTGAAGCTCCCAAACTCACATGAATGAAGAGATTGCACTTGTGTGTGAGATCTTCCATGACTGTGCTGGCTGCTGTCAGGCTGGACTCCATCTTGATCATCCAGGAACACACCTGCATGTAGTACACTTGCACCTCTCTGAAACAGACAAGATCACATTCTGGTCAAAACTTGTTTACCTTCTACTTCAGTACAGTGAATAAAAAATAGTTTAAATATAAGATGAAAGGTCACAGGAATTCAAGATATATTAAGTTTTTCACACTTTGTGAAATGAAAATCGGTGTTGCAGTACTCGTACTCGGTACTCATACTCGAGTACTACTCAAGTACTTTGTTAAGAGTACTCGTACTCGTACTCGAATGTCAAAGCACTTGTACTCGAAATGACAGTACTCGTACTCGGGCAGCAAAGCACTCGTACTCGACATGTCGAAATTGTACTCGATCATCAAAGTACTCGTACTCAAATAGCAGTACTCGGGGAAAAAAATGGTATAGCTTGATTCCTGATTTTACTCTGTGCACGTCCGGACAAACACAATTAACAGCTAGCCGTGAGTGGGTCTGTTCATCAGTCTGACCCAGCCTGGGCCAATTACGCACATTGAACCATTTGCCGTATGGCCGTATTCGAAAATAAACGTACTCGTACTCATACTCGGAAGTACAAGTACTCGTATTCGGAAGTACAAGTACTCATACTCGGAGACCTGAACTTGTACTCGGAAATACAAGTACTCGTACTCGTACTCATACTCAGTAACCTAGGTACTTGGCAGTACTCGGTACTCGGAAAAAAATACTTGACTACAACACTGATGAAAATGTGTGAAAACAATTTGTACTGTACATGTTCAGTGAAAGGAAGATCAGAGATTCTCACCTGACCAGACTTTGGCTCTTCTGCTGCAGGTATCCCTGGGTGGACTGCACCACCGACTGCTGGGATTTCTTGTCCAGTAGCCGGGCAATGTGAGGAGATAGACTCTTGAGAAGGAACTGATTGGCTGACCAGACGATGTTGGCTGTCAGCGTGATGGCTGGCACCTAAACAAAAGACATCAAAAATTGGACATTTAAAGTTCCCCATGTTCTTTTCAAATTTCATCCCGAAAAAATAGAATCCTTTTCTAAATGGCTTTTTACATGCAATACAAAGTGAAACGTTTTTGAATGAGACATTGCCTGGAAAAAAAAATGGGCCCACGTTTCGTCATTGAAGTTTTACTTTACAGTGTCGAATTATTGGCTGCCAGACAATAATGTACGGACTAGGAGCCGTAATGGATAATGTACGGACTGGGAGCATGTCTGCTCGCAAAGTGGATCTGTTTATGCCCAAAACAAAAGCCTATTTTCTTCACGGGATGCTGATTTGAGGAGGTTTGAATAAAACATACAAGTTGAGAATGTATTAATAGAAAAAAAAATACACATTGTATGTAAACATACATTGGCTTCATACAGCATCCTCATTAGCTTAAAAAATATAATTTCTTGAAGAATTAGGCCAAAAAAAAAAAGTCTCCGGTTTCTGGTATGCGCGCGCGTCCTCGTAGCCATGCGCGTCGGCAAAATGAAAACGTTTTTTTTTCAATGAAAGATGATGTCTCCAAACCGCCAAACTCACTGGTTTGACTGGAATCCTGCTGCTGCACAATTTTAACGTGTTTTTAGATTGGGTTATGGTCGAGAATAAGCTTTATGTGGCCTCTCTGGACTCCCATATATTGGCACTAAGTTTAGTCGGGCACCATTTGCAGTCATCAGCCGACATTTGAAGCAAAAAAATCAGGTAAAAAAAAAAAAAAGCCGCGTCGCCGCACCACCTTTTGGGCAAGCTCCATACCAGAAACCGGAGACTTTTTTGGGGGGGGCCTTATTAAATATGCCAACTTTTTTTTTGCAACCTGTAAAAAAAATCAATTTGTTATTCGGTTAGAGGGGCTTTAAGAGGGACTATTTTTGTTTAATTCATAGCTAACAAGGGAAATGGTTTTTGAACTAGACATTTTTTTTGGAATCCTATATTAAAAGATCCTACGCTGTTTGTCTGATGTCTGTCTGATGTCTGTCTGTTTGATGTCTGTCTGATGTCTGTGTGTTACATTTTCTTTTTTATATATCAACGGTTCCTCTGATTATGCGGTCATAAGTGTATGCAGGTCCTTAAATGGTATATGTATGCTCCAATTTCACTGTCCTCTGAAGTCATGGTTGGCACATGAAAACAAATGACTAAATTGTTTTGTTTCGCATTATTTGGCAAATCTGTTTCTTTCAGACTTTGAATAGTTCAAAGTTATCCCTATGAAAACACTGCAAAACGTATCACTATTAGGTCAACAAAAAAAATAAGTCGGTCTCTGGTCAGAACAAAGTTCCGGAATTGGCGGGGGGACGCGGTTTTTTTTTTTTTTTTTGCTTTTTTTCCCTTTTTCTTCAAGCTTGGATTGTACAGAAAAGGTGGGGTACTATTTTCCTTTTTTGGTGTCCTCATGTACATTGGTGTCCTCATGTACATTGGTGTCCTCATGTACATTGGTGTCCTCCATAATTTGCCTTGGTGCTTTCGATTATTTGTCTTGGTGCAATTTCCCATTCCTTGGTGCTCTTTGGTAAAAAAAATTGAGGAGGTGTGGAAATAGAGGGCGCGGAAATAGAGGGCGCTGTTGGAGCTACCACGGAACATTTTGGAAAAAAAACCAGATCGACGCGCATGATTATAATCGACGCGCTCGCTGACTAGAGACCGACTTATTTTTTGGGGGGGCCTTACGGAAAACATAACGTTCATGACAAATATGGCAAAATTGCCTCACCAAGGCTTACTACGCCCACTTGGGGTCAACATGCAAATTGAGGTCAAAGGAAACATTAGTACACGTATATGGTTCCACCAAGCTACTGGGTGCAGCGCATAGCGCGGCATCCCACTAGCTGATGAAATCATTACTTGTACAACAGAAAGACCACTTAGGACATCTTTCATCCAACCTTGCAGTTAATGCCATAATAATTGAAAACATGCACGAAAACAATTAACTACGTTGGAGTACATAATAGGTGACCCGATTTCAATTTTCACAGGAGAGATCCGGTAATAACGTACATCAAGGCTAAGTGAAATGAACACGACAACGCGAACAAAAGCGAAAAGGCCTTCCACAAAAAAATCCCAATCATGCCATCAATGAGGCTTTAAAGTGGGAGAACCGATTTACTTGAAGTGGAGTCGCGACCATTTATTCATTAAATGCACAAATTGACCGCTCACGCACCAAGTTCTGGATGTACTGATGTTTTAGCCGTATAATGAAAGTACCGTGTACACATTTTTCCCTGACACAGGCAGCTGTGGTGGATAATCAGAGACAGTAGGGCTTTGCACAGGGTTTTCCAGACTCTGCTTGCATGAAGAAGATGAGCTACGGTACATGAACATTTACGTGTACATCTGTACATGATCCTGTAACATCTGTGCAATTGAATATGAACAATTTGGTCCTGGAATCTTTCTTTCAAATTGATATTTCTGTAAACGCTTGCTGAGAACACAGGGGAGCTGAGGACTGGCCGGTAACTTCTGATAGGCAGCGATTGCCACACCACCTTCTTCCTCCTTGTTGTACTTGTTACTGAAGTTCTTCAAAGAGGTTTTAAAGCCTTGAGACACCGATTCAAAAAATGAAGATGAGTTTGACGACTGCTTCACCGTCAGGCAACCAGACTGATGTAGATGCAGCAGGTCCTTGGCATATGTTGGTGCTGATTGGGTCTTGCGTCACAGGTTCAGCCACCAGCCTGATCAACCTATGGATAGTGATGTCCATTATCTCCTGTCGACAGCTCCACAGTGTGTCCAACGCGCTCCTCGCGAGTCTCAGCACCTCCGAGTTCTTGATCGGCATCCAGTGCATCTTGGCTGGCTTCATGCATTTGACCTTGTCGACACAACGGCCAAAGCTGCAAGTTGGACTCTTTGGCGCCTACGTCTTTTTTGGCAACTGCAGTTTTAGCATGAACTCGATTGCCATTGCAATTGACCGGTATCTAAAAGTTTCCCGGCCAATGCGATACATCCGTTTGGCGTCGTCGAGAAGATGCGCATTCGTCATTGCTATGGTGTGGTTAATATCTGGGATAGTTGGCTCAGTGATATTAACGTCGGTGATCGTTCTTATTAACGATGATGACACCACCATCCAAATCTTCTTTGATGGAAATTCCAAAGTCTCATATGCATCTATTTGCATCGTGGACATTGTAGCAATCCCCTTTGTTATTGCCATTTTCTGTCTGATGGTTGCACTTATCTGCATCGCCCGAAAACAACAACGAAAAATCAAACAGGAGAGGCAACTAGTGACCCATCTTCGAGAAATCCGCCCTCAGATGGACGACGAATCCACCGCCAATCCTCCAATCAGACATCAGGAAAGGCCACAACACAAGATTACGATTTACTTCATCATCAATTTCTTCACGTTTGTCGCAACCTGGATGCCGGTGTTCATTGTCATCCATATTGCTGTGTTCGTTCAGCCAGATACGCAAACTTTTGCATTCTTTGTTGCAGCATTTGTGGTGGTGGCCCTCAGTCAAATGTTTATCGGGACTGTGTTGCTGATATACACCCAGGGAGAACACCGACAGGTTTTGTGGAAGGCATGGCAGGCGATGAAGCAAAAATTTACTGGGAAGTGACACTGGCAGGCAGTTTCTCTACGAGCGATTTCCTACATTATCTCCAACTTTAAGATGACAATTGGCTTGGAAAATTTGTCGGTAATACTGTGTAGTGACGGTAGATTTGTTTATACTGAACAATACCGAATGGTGAATCCAAACACACTGAATAACTCAGTACAATTCACAGTATTCCCTGTAAATTTTTGGAGAGATGTGTGCCAAAGCCCTACCCTCCTATGAAAACATGCATTCTCAGCCATGCTGTCAATATAGGTCAAGTGACCCATTGGTTTGTTAAAAGTACCAGTATACCAGGGGAAGTGGAAGGAAACTTTGATCGTTTGTGACCTTTTAAAGCTATAGTCCATCATTTGCAGCTATCCAAAAAGTAACTGACGCAATTATTATTGAAAAACGTGCTTGGTTGAAAGATAGTAAGGGGACTAAACTCCCTGTGAAATTATTCTTTCTGGCAAACTGTCATTTTGAAGAAATCAACGAAAGAAGGCCTTTCCAACGGTACGTCTTAAGACGCACCATAGGAAATTTCCGTTAGTAGTTCGTTTTCAATCAGCGAAGCACATGCAAGTATTGGCACCGTACGCACACGCGCGCGCGGTTGCTATAATTCGTTGGATCGGTGCGCGACATCGCGTAGCTGCATTCGGCTCAGTGAGAACGTGTCTCGGATGCTGAATTCAAGCCCAATTCAAAACATGATTCAGCAACTTTTGATTTGAAATTGAGATCCTAGAATGCTGTTTTTCTCGGAATATACAGCTGAAGCTGAGCTGAACCTTCATCAGATTAGTTGTTCAGTACCCTTCTTTAGATTTTGAGCACTTTTTGTTGCTTCAAATGAACAAAATGCACAAATTACAAATGATGGACTATATCTTTAAACAGCAGGAGGGTTAAAGAAAATCACAAGGAGATAGAAACTCGGCTAGATCTGCACTTGATGGATGATTGTAATTGGGGCTGTCCAGAATATACTGAACATTCGAAAATACTCAATCATTAACTGAATATTTCAATTATAGCTTTTTGCCCATTTGAATATTTTTTTTGGGGGGGGGAAACAATGCTACAAGCACCGCAACTTCACGACATAATCACATCCCAGTCGTGTGTATACATACGTACAAGACTGTGATGTCATTATATCGTAAAGTTGCGGCCCTTTAGATGCATAGTAAGGTGCCACTTTGTCATTGGCTTCAACTTTTATTGTGGATGACAGTCCATTGTTCACATCCTTTCTAGCAGGGTAAAGAGGTTGTGGAATGCCCGAAGACATTTCCGTCATTTTTTGAGTATACGTAGCCTAAGGTGTGATGAAATAAAAACGACTA